TACCGACCACTTGTGTTAATACTGTACCGACCACTTGTGTTAATACTGTGGTGGTGACAGCAGTGATGGTGGTAGTGGTGGCAAGTGGTGAGGTGAGCAGGATGGTGGTAGTGGTGTTGGAGGTGTGGCAGCGGTGATGGTGTGGCAAGTGGTGGTGGCAGCAGTGATGGTAGTGGTGGCAAGTGGTGGTGGCAGCGGTGATGGTGGTAGTGGTGGTGGCAGCGGGATGGTGAGTGGTGGTGGTGGCAGCGGTGATGGTGGTAGTGGTGGTGACAGTGATGGTGGTAGTGGCAGCGGTGATGGTGGTAGTGGTGGTGACAACGGTGGTAGTGGTGTTGGCGGTGTGGCAGCGGTGATGGTGAGTCGCCAGTGTTGGTGGTGATGGTGAGTCGCCAGTGTTGGTGGTGATGGTGAGTCGCAGTGTTGGTGGTGATGGTGAGTCGCCAGTGTTGGTGGTGATGGTGAGTCGCCAGTGTTGGTGGTGATGGTGAGTCGCCAGTGTTGGTGGCGGCGGTGATGGTGAGTCGCCAGTGTTGGCGGTGTCGGCGGCTGGTGGCGTTGGTGGCGGTGTCGGCGGCTGGTGGCGTTGGTGGTGGTGTCGGCGGCTGGTGGCGTTGGTAGTGGTGTCGGCGGCTGGTGGCGTTGGTGGTGGTGTCGGCGGCTGGTGGCGTTGGTGGTGGTGTCGGCGGCTGGTGGCGTTGGTGGTGGTGTCGGCGGCTGGTGGCGTTGGTGGTGTCGGCGGCTGTTAAATACTGCTGTTGCTACCCTGGGCTAGACCCTCCCATCACCTCCCTCCCCATCACCTCTCCTCCCCCATCACCTCCTCCCCATCACCTCCCTCACCCCCATCCCCTCACCACATGGCTCCCCTCTCTATGCTTCCCCTCCCTCTCTCATTCCTCTCACTCACATAGTGTAGTTAGTGATGCGAGGCGAGAGATGGATAGGGTGTAACACAGTGGGTGGGGAGGTGGGTGTAACAGGTGGTGGGGAGGTGGGTGTAACAGTGGGTGTAACAGTGGGTGGGGAGGTGGGTGTAACAGTGGGTGGGGAGGTGGGTGTAACAGTGGGTGGGGAGGTGGGTGTAACAGTGGGTGTGGGGTGTAACAGTGGGTGTGGGGGTGTAACAGTGGGAGGGAGGTGGGTGTAACAGTGGTGGGGGGTGTAACAGTGGGTGGGGAGGTGGGTGAAACAGTGGGTGGTGGGTGTAACAGTGGGTGGGGAGGTGGGTGTAACAGTGGGAGGGAGGGTGTGTGTAACAGTGGTGGGTGTAACAGTGGGTGTGGGGTGTAACAGTGGGTGGGAGGTGGGTGTAACAGTGGGAGGGTGTAACAGTGGGAGGGTGTAACAGTGGGTGGGGAGGTGGGTGTAACAGTGGGTGTGGGGTGTAACAGTGGGTGTAACAGTGGGTGGGGAGGTGGTGTAACAGTGGGTTTGGGGTGTAACAGTGGGAGGGAGGTGGTGTAACAGTGGGAGGGGTGTAACAGTGGGTGGGGAGGTGGGTGTAACAGTGGGTGTGGGGGTGTAACAGTGGGTGGGAGGTGGGTGTTACATTGGGTGGGAGGATGGGTGTAACAGTGGGTGGGGGTGTGGACCAGCCTACCATGTATTGATCAACAAATACAACAACCAATGAATGACTCCTGTCCGCCTGTTGCCCCACCAAGCTCCTCAATGCTCCTTTATCTCCCTCACCTCCATAATCTCTCCCTCACCACCATTATCTCTCCCTCACCACCATTATCTCTCCCTCACCTCCATAATCTCTCCCACCCATTATCTCTCCTTCACCTCCATTATCTCCTTCACCTCCATTATCTCTCCTTCACCACCATTATCTCTCCTTCACCACCATTATCTCTCCCTCACCACCATTATCTCTCCTTCACCTCCATTATCTCTCCCTCACCTCCATTATCTCTCCTTCACCATCATTATCTCCTTCACCTCCATTATCTCTCCCTCACCACCATTATTCTCCTTCACCTCCATTATCTCTCCTCACCACCATTATCTCTCCTACCTCCATTATCTCTCCCTCACCACCATTATCTCTCCTTCACCTCCATTATCTCTCCTCACCTCCATTATCTCCTTCACCTCCATTATCTCTCCTCACCTCCTTATCTCTCCTTCACCTCCATTATCTCTCCCTCACCTCCCTTATCCTCAGTGTTTGTTTAGGTTAACATTCCTCAGTGTTTGTTCAAGGTTAACTTTCCCTCAGTGTTTGTTTAAGGTTAACATTCCCTCAGTGTTTGTTCAAGGTTAACATTCCCACAGTGTTTGTTAGGTTAACATTCCTCAGTGTTTGTTCAAGGTTAACATTCCCTCAGTGTTTGTTCAAGGTTAACATTCCTCAGTGTTTGTTCAAGGTTAACATTCCCACAGTGTTTGTTTAGGTTAACATTCCCTCAGTGTTTGTTCAAGGTTAACATTCCTCAGTGTTTGTTTAAGGTTAACATTCCCTCAGTGTTTGTTTAAGGTTAACATTCCCTCAGTGTTTGTTTAAGGTTAACATTCCCTCAGTGTTTGTTCAAGGTTAACATTCCCTCAGTGTTTGTTTAAGGTTAACATTCCCTCAGTGTTTGTTTAAGGTTAACATTCCCTCAGTGTTTGTTTAAGGTTAACATTCCCTCAGTGTTTGTTTAAGGTTAACATTCCCTCAGTGTTTGTTTAAGGTTAACATTCCCTCAGTGTTTGTTCAAGGTTAACATTCCCTCAGTGTTTGTTTAAGGTTAACATTCCCTAAGTGTTTGTTTAAGGTTAACATTCCCTCAGTGTTTGTTCAAGGTTAACATTCCCTCAGTGTTTGTTTAAGGTTAACATTCCCTCAGTGTTTGTTTAAGGTTAACATTCCCTCAGTGTTTGTTCAAGGTTAACATTCCCTCAGTGTTTGTTCAAGGTTAACATTCCCTCAGTGTTTGTTCGGTTCATTCCTCAGTGTTTGTTTAAGGTTAACATTCCCTCAGTGTTTGTTTAAGGTTAACATTCCCTCAGTGTTTGTTCAAGGTTAACATTCCCTCAGTGTTTGTTTAAGGTTAACATTCCCTCAGTGTTTGTTCAAGGTTAACATTCCCTCAGTGTTTGTTCAAGGTTAACATTCCCTCAGTGTTTGTTCAAGGTTAACATTCCCTCAGTGTTTGTTCAAGGTTAACTTTCCCTCAGTCAGTTTATTGACGTCTATCATTACAGTAAAGAATGTTTATACAAGGTAAATGTTGTGTAAGTGAATGTACGTAAAGGTAAACACTTTATCAGTGAATGTTTAATCGTGACAAACTACATCAGTGAATATTTATAAATCGACAACACTGAATTAGTCAATGTTTGAAAAAATTAACATTACAGAACTCCGCATTTAGTGACGTAACCTAACCTAAAGGCAAGTCGTATTGTGGAGAACTTTAACCTGGCCAGTGAATTTGACCTTTGATTTACCTTTATTATAAGTTATGATTTTTTCCTCGCACATCCTACATCCCGAGTATCATCATCAAAAACTCTCTCTCTCTCTTCGTCTTGTTATTTTACATGGTTGTATGGCCAGACTTGTATTACTAGAGCGTGAAAAATTCTAAAATTTATCATTCACACAGTTCCTGTGTCTCGGTTCTAAATATCTCTTCAATCTCTGAAATATTAGAATTAGTTCAATAGATTAAAATCGTTAACGTTACATAAATACAACATTGAAATATTACTTGTAATTTATAGCGTTATGAAAATAAAATTGAATGTCATCATGAACCAGACAAGTCATGTGGCCTTAACCTACGCCCTACAGGTTACCCCAAGAGAATTTTTTCTTCTCCACCCGAAACCAAAACAACGTCTTTCAACGTCAGTCATGCTGTTGTGGATATTTCTAAAACAATACTTAAGTAAAATATACCGCTATTACAACAACTGATGTAAAGTATGGAGGAAACGGGATTACAAAAAATGGGCGGGTCAAAATTTGGTGGGTATTGATCTGGCGGGAAGCAACAAGGTGGTGGTATTGTTGTCACCAGGCGTCGCGCGCGCCTCCCACCTCCTCTACTTCCCAAATGTGTCTTTTTTCAAATTATCTTTATTTCCTAAATTGTTGGAAGTAGTTTGTCTTTTTGTGCTTAATGCGAAGTAGAATTAACAACCTCACCCTGTTATTAAAGTTTTCTGACACACACACACACACACACCCCCCACCCCCCTTCACCCCCTTCCACCCCATACCTTCCACCCCCACCCCCCCCTTCCACCCCCTTGTACCTTCCCCCCCGCCCTACCCCCCTTCCCCCCTTCACCCCTTCACCCCCACCCCCCACCACCCACCCCCACCACCCCACCACACCCCACCACACCCCCCCCCCCACACCACCCCCACACCCCCACACACACCACCCCCCACCCCCTCCCCCCCACACCCCCCACCCCCCACACCCCCACACCCCACCCCCCACCCCCCCACCCCCACACCCCCCACACCCCCCACCCCCACCCTCCTTTACCCCCCACGAGAGAGAGTTATGTTTTATATTGAATGCAAAGTTATTTAAGTATACAATTCAGTACTACTGTATATATTGCTTATAATATGTCTGGTAAACCAGGACATATAGTATCTTGAGTAAGTTTTGTTTGTTGAGTTTCCTCTTTGTGTGATAATGTGTAGTCTGTGTACTGATAATTAATGGAACATCACATAACTTGTTCTAATTAGTTTTTTTAACTTATGTTATGAATAATTATTTATATTTTTATGCCTCATGTCCAGTTAACAACTTTGATAGTGTGCTCACATGTATAGGTCTAATTACATATACAGTAGCTGTTTGTATGTAATATTTTGATGTGTGTGTGTTTTGATTGTTCGTCTCCCAAGCTATCTGTTTTGCTGTCAGTTGGTAATTGCTGAAATGTAACCTATGCATTTTAGCAAAAAATGGCAGCTTAACTCAGAGTTGGGGAGCTCCTGTTCACTTGTTTCTTAACTGCTTCTCTCCCCCTTCCGTCAGAAGACGGTCACGGGAATTTGGACCTGTGCCGGGGGTTTAAGAAGCTGTTAAAGGGTCAAGAGACACAGGGCCCATGCCTGAGTGAGACTGTCACACAAGAGGCAACTCAACAAGGTAACTCTCCAGCAGTTTCTCTTCGTCTTTCCTTCTACTTGAAAGTAATATGTGATTTGTTTACTGTAGGCCTCATTAAGGTGTTCTGTACTGTGTTATTGTACTGTAGTGTAGTGTGGTGTGGATTGTGTTGTGCATATTAAATGTTATATTTGTGCTCAGTAGCTTTTCTTTATATGCTCATTCACTTTGGTCTAATTGCCATTATTTTGCCTCTTTTTCCCTCCAGGTGCCTTAGACGAAGATGAGAGTGACAGCGAGGGAACTGAGTTGGGAGGGTCTACCATCGTCACGCCCACCGGCGAGACCCTCAACTCCAATGAAAGACACCAGTTACGCCACCGTGAACTCTTCCTCTCCCGCCAGATAGAAACCCTCCCTGCTACACACATACGCGGCAAATGCACAGTCACATTACTCAACGAGACAGAGTTATTATTGGCCTATCTCAATAAAGACGTGAGTAATTACAAAATGCTCTTCATATTCTGTAATTACTAATCCTGTTCCGGGTCCAAAAAATTATAATACCTTACCATACTTAAGTTAAGTAATTTCTCTCTCTGCAGTTGTGGGTACTTCCTCTCCTTGCTGCTTATAAATGTCATCTTTGTTTTAGGCAGCTGATGTTTCCCTATATAACACTATACAGTACTGTATGCATGATTTACGTCAATTTGAACATGTCATCTTATTACTCTTTGTAGTTGTTGATGTTGTTGATCTTTTTTGCCTTGGTATGCAAAACCTTCATAAATATTCCCAGTTTCCTGATGCTTTCTTCATTAGCAAGAAAGTTATGTCTCAATCAGTACAGTACGGTACAGTACAGTGCGGTACGGTGCAGTACAGTATGGTACAGTACGGTACGGTATGGTACAGTACGGTATGGTACGATACTGTACAGTATGGTACGGTATGGTACGGTGCAGTACAGTATGGTACAGTACGGTATGGTACAGTATGGTACGGTACAGTACTGTACGGTACGGTATGGTACAGTACGGTATGGTACAGTACGGTATGGTACAGTACTGTACGGTACGGTATGATGCGGTACAGTACTTATGCGGTATGTGAGCCTGATATGGTACAGTGCGGTATGAGTACGAATGCGGTATGGTACAATGCGGTATGGTACAGTGCGGTATGTACAGTAGCTATGGTACAGTACAGTACAGTGCGGTACTGTACTGTACAGTACTGATACGGTATGTTACGGTGCAGTGATACAGTATGAGTGCGGTACGATGCGGTATGGTATGGTACAGTATGAGTGCGGTACAGTATGGTGCGGTACAGTGCGGTATGGTACAGTATGTGGTACAGTCGCGGTACAGTATGGTATGGTACAGTGGTATGAGTGCGGTGCGGTACTGTACTGTACAGTACGGTACGGTATGTTACGGTGCAGTACAGTATGGTACGGTACGGTACATTACGGTATGGTACGGTACATTACGGTATGGTACGGTACGGTACAGTACGGTATGGTACGGTACAGTACGGTATGGTACGGTACAGTACGGTACGGTACAGTACGGTATGGTACAGTACAGTACGGTACGGTACAGTACAGTATGGTACAGTACAGTACAGTACAGTACAGTACAGTACGGTACAGCACAGCACGGTATGGTACAGTGTATTTTTTTCTAATGTCTTACACTTGATTTTGCAGAAAGAAATACAATACAGTACTGTACTGTATTGTATTGTTTATTTTTAAGGAAATTTTTGCAAAAATATTGTCAAAAGCTGTGTGTATTAGTTGGAATGTTCATTTGTATTTATAATTTTTTTTGGCTAAACTGCAAGTTTGAATAGAAGTTAATTGTAGGGTGGGTATGTTAGTTAGCTACGAGCTGAGATGATTCAGTCATCTAAGAGTGACCTCAAAGTGGTGTAAAAGATTATAAGATCATGTATATGCAGCACAGTATAGTACAGTACTCTCACATGCCTTATAATACCATACAATTTATGATGACTATATAGAGCTCTCACTGTCATAAGATGTATGATATAAACAAATGGCATGTAACTGCTCAGTGATACAAATGACTTTTATGTAAGTTATGTTTTTAAGGAATACAATGTTTTGTTAATTGATGGGAACAGTTACCTCCATTCACACCACAGGAAAGCTGCAAGGACAGCAGCATGTGCCTGATCTTCCAAGTCACTAGTCATTTGTCATCTTGCTTCGGATTGGATGCCCTTAATTGTGTGGAGGGATTGTGAAAAAATGAGTTTCTCATGACATAACTGTAGGCAGTATAGTACTCTGTACTGTACAGCACAAAAATATAAGGTCACAGGCAGCTACCAGTTACTCACATGAACTTGTCTTTATTTTCAGGATACCTTCTTCTACTCCCTGGTTTATGACCCACAGCAGAAAACACTATTAGCAGATAAAGGAGAAATTAGGGTTGGCTCAAGATATCAAGCAGATATTACATCATTATTAAAAGAAGGTGGGTAAAGAGAATATGTGTGTGCGTGCGTGTGTGCGTGCGTGCAGTTCAACACAAAGATGCGCGAATTTATCAATTACACTAATACATTTTATGGGGCAATCACTCATGGCACAGCCCTTCTCTACTCATCCGACGGTATCTCTCTAATTGAAGATGAAGAAGGCATCCTTCAGCGCTGGAAAGAGCACTACCATTCGCTGCTCAACCGAAACACCGATGTGGATGTCCTGACAACCCATCAGGTCCCTCAGCATCCAGAGTTGACCCACCTTAGCTATTCTCCATCCCTGGAAGAGGTAGCTACTGCCTTCAAACAATGAAAAATAACAAAGCCACATGGCCTGATGGAATCCCAGCCAAGGTGTAAAAGCAGGAGGACCTTTGCTTACCAGCTGTCTCCACTCTCTCCTGGAGAATGTATGGAAAAAGGAGGAAATCCCCCAAGCTTTTAAAGACGCTTCCATCGTCAATATTTATAAGAACAAGGGAGACCGGTCAGACTGTGGCAACTACTGCAGGATCTCGCTTCTGTCCGTAGCTGGCAAAATTATCGCCTGAATCCTCCCAAACAGACTTCTTCCTGAGGCGGAAAACTTCCTCCCAGAATCTCAATGTGGCTTTATACCATCACTTGGCACCACTGACATGATCTTTGCTGCCTTCCAGATACAGGAAAAGTGCCGAGAACAGCGTCTTGACCTGTACATGGCTTTCATCAACCAAACCAAGGCATTCGGCTCGGTCAACAGGGAAGCCCTCTGGAGGACCCTCAGCCGTTCTGGCTGCCCACCAAAATTCATCTCCATTGTGAGGCAACTCCATGATGTCATGAATGGCAGTGTCCTGTACAATGGCACCCAGTCTGAGTTCCTCCCCATCCAATGGGAGTAAAACAAGGATATGTACTGGCACCAATTCTCTCTTCCATTTTCTTAGCTGCTTTCCTTACTTGTGGCAGTGCCAATTTAGCCGGCGGGATGGACATCCAATTCCGGATGAAGGGTCTTTTCAACATATGATGACTCCAGGCAGGAACAAAAGTGTTGGCAGCTTCAATTTCTGACATTCAATATGCGGACGACCTCACCCTTGTTGCTCACACTGTATGCGACTTACAGGAAATCTTGAACACCTACGCAGATGCATATGCACACTTCGGCCTTGAGGTGAATGTACTTAAGACTCAAATTCTCTTTCAGCCTGCCCTTGGTTGAGCCACACCTCCACCATCCATCCAGCTTAATGGTACTACCCTCTTTAATGTTACCCACATTCACCATCTCGGCTCCCACCTGTCCACCACCGTGGACATCGATGAAGAGATTCAACATCGGATCAGATGTGCATCTCGAGCTTTTGGCACACCCGTGTCTTCAGCTGTAGGGAACTGAAATTATCTACAAAGCTGCACATATATCGAGCAGTGGTCCTACCCACCCTGGTATATGGCAGTGAGACATGAGTCACATACAGGAGTCACCTCAAGGCACTTAAAAACTTTCACCAATGTAGTCTACGTTCCGTCCTCCGAGTTCGCTGGGAAGACAAGAGAACAAATGCCAGTATTCTTGCTGACACCAACTGTAGGAGTATCGAGGCTACCATTATCCATGAACAACTACACTGGACTGGCCATGTTACCTGCATGGACGACAGTAGACTACCAAAGCAGCTACTTTACAGTCACCTAATGAATAGTAAACGTAACGCTGGCGGGCAACTGAAAAGGTATAAGGATAGTCTTAAGACAAACCTGAAAAAGTGCCAAATTGACCCCCCTCACTTGGCAGACGATTACTCCACACCGTAACACTTGGAGGAGCACCACACGAGGCAGATAAGCGCGAATGCCGGAAAGACGCTGCCGCCAGCCCTCCCACACTAGGTGTAGCCTCCCACACGTGCAACATCTGTGAACAACTCTGCTGATCCCGTATTGGCCTCTCGAGTCACCGCAGAATTCACCAACAAAGGTGACATCCTTAATAACTCCTATCATTGTATCATAGCTGGATGATCGTCATACTCGATTCCGAGTGACAGCAAAGTAGTGCGTGCGTTCGTGTGCACGCTGAAACATATTCGTTCGAGATATTACTTAGTGTATTTTGTTTTGTGTGATTTATATTTGTTATGATTTACCTTTAATATCTGTAAAGGCTTTACAGCTTAGTCAGCTTCTTACACTTGAAATTTTTTTGGGTTTACTTTGTATTATATCCAACAAGTTTTTATTGTCATCTCCCAAGTAAGACACACTGCTGTCAACCCCCAGTTTTAACACCACGAACACAATAGATGAGTGAGATACACAATTAATTTAATCAAACTTTCCTCAACTTGCATCGTATCTCTTTCTGGCTTATGTCATCTACCACACTCAGGCCCTCTGCATTCTCTAACAGCTTTAAATCAGTTTGCTTTTTTTCATCCTTATTATATACTGTAGTACCGTATACTGTATGCCTTTCTGCTGTCTTGGAAATAAGTAGATCTCACTTAACACTCAGGGTCAGGGGCGACACACCTTGTGGTCCAGCTGCAGCTGCCTTGCTTACTGAGTCACTATCATGCAAAAGTGTTGATATTTTTTTGAATGATTTCATTTGTAAGAAAATGTTTTAAAGATTTACATTTTTCTATGACGTCGGAAATAAATCGACCTGATAAAATAATTCCCCAAAATGGGAGAAATAAACTAAAAAAACGGGATAAATCAATCGATGTGTGTGTGCGTGTGTGCGTGCTTGCGCCACTTTGGAATATTAGAAGAGCAGGCTGAGTATAGCCTATCACTGATTTTGCCTCAAGGTACAAGTATTGAACAGTATAGAAAATAAATATGAGTGAACTTGCTTTGTTTGTCACTTAGTCAGTGATGAAGCAAGATTAGCCCGAGTCTATAAATGATTATGTGAGTTTGATCACTAAATTTTTCTCGCTATTTCAAATGCAAGTTCTCTCATTTAATTTTCATACCGTAAAACTTATGGTTGTTAAAGCAAATTCTTGTTGCTTGAATACTTGTTCAGTGAGACCTTACTGTACTATACCCTGCATTTATGTTGCTATGGAGTGTTGTTGCTTGAATACTTGTTCAGTGAGACCTTACTGTACTATACCCTGCATTTATGTTGCTATGGAGTGTAATATATTGCTTATGGTGCTCCAAGTTATTATGTGGTGTAGTGCTAGAGAGTTCATGATGATTTATTTATGTACAGATGTAGAAATCCATTTTCTGTTCATTCTTTTAGATGCTTCCTTAAAGATATTAGGTCTATTTTAAACAGTGGCAGAATGTAGAATATTATCAGAGAAGAAGATGAAGAGCTGGATGTATAACATAAAGCCATTGTCCTGAATATTGAAGAAAGTAAATGCTGACCAAAGTTGTTTAATTTATGGATCTGTGGTGTAATGGTCAAGCATGCTTGCCTCGCAAGTGAATGGACCCGGGTTCGACCCTCGGGCAGGGTGAAACTGTGGGTAAGTTTCTTTACTCCATTTGCCTCTGTCTACCTAGTAGATTGACACCGAGTAATGCAGCTCATTAACTTAGGGTATGGTTATAGTGTTGACGACCGTTTCTACACCTTAAGCAAATTCACACCTAGGTGGCCCTTAGGCCAGCCATCCTCATACACAAGGGGCAACCATAACTACTAATTTATGGATATTATTCCTCCAAATTTTCTTGCAGTTGGTGCAGTATGCAGTTTTAATAGATCTATTTTTTTATATTTTCTAAATGTCTTACAGGTGAGGGTGATGGACGTAATTTGGAAGAATTGGAAAGCTTGGTATGGACCCCGGGGCATGGCCTCACAGATCGACAAATAGATCAATTTCTTGTGATGTCACGGTCAGTAGGGACGTTTGCCCGTGCCCTGGACTGCTCATCCTCAGTCAAGCAGCCATCACTGCACATGAGTGCAGCAGCTGCTTCTAGAGATGTCACGTTGGTAAGTGATCTGCTGTGCATCTTTAGTTTCTTTTTTTCAATACAAAATGTCCAGGAAGCAGCAGTTCACATGAATGATAAGAGCCCATGGTGTCCAGTGCTTTGTGGGTATTTTACAACAGTTAAAGTGGAAGAATAGAGAGTGAGAGTCTTGTTTTTGTTCTTGTTATGACTGTTGTATAAGAAGAAAAGGCTCAGTGAAGGTGATGGACATTCAGTTAACAGCAGAGTTTGTGGATGATAAGTGACATAACATGATAGGTGAGTTGTACTGATGGAGAGGGTGTCTGTGTTTTTTCTTGGTTCTGCAATATATTGGAAGAGGGTTTACAAGAATAGTACAGTAATTAAATAAAAGTTCTGTACTTCTTAGGCACAATGATTATATACTGTAATCATGTCTGGTATAAAATATGACTCAAGAGGCAGCATGAGGTTAAGAATAACATCACTACTTAGTGTAATGTGCTCTTAGTCTTGGACTTACTGTATATGGTATGGAACCCTTGTGTAACATAACTGTTCTTCAAGTCTGGTTTGATGAAGACTGCTATTTATATCATAAGTTGGGACCTACATTTGTAGGTGCTGTACATTACTTTATGCTGCCAGTGAAGGGTGTACTGATGTATCGTGTAATGGGAGGGATAATGGTGGTGGTAGATAAACTAGCTGTTGGAATATTAACTCATTCAAGGGTGGCACAGCCTAATCACCCTTGTCTCCCCAATCTGCCAGCTGTTTGGTAATTATATATTTAATATAAATAAAAACTTCATAAAATTGAGAATGCTGTACTATTATGACAACTTGGCATCTTAGGATATTGGCCATTCTTTTCTACAGAGATACAGTAAAGTCTTACCACAGACAATGGATTCTTATATGTTGAGGTCATAACTTTATAGCTTGTGCTGTTTTGTGAACCTCCTATTTGGGCCATCCTTTATAGGGTATGATTCCTTAACATAACGATAATGTGTGTGGTTGGAGGGATGGATGAGTGGATATATGGTGTGTCATTTGGGTGAATCAATGTATATTGGTAAATTCTGTATTAATGCTCTTGTACTATACAGTATAGCTTGTTAAATAGTTTGTGTTGAAATCACAAGTGCAGTATATTGTATTGTAGTAATATTGTATTATATTTTCCCAGTTTCATGCAATGGACACCCTACATAAGCACAACTACGACATTAGCAAAGCACTTTGTTCTTTAATACCTGCTACGGGGCCAGTACTATGTCGAGATGAAATGGAAGAATGGTCGGCGTCTGAAGCTAATTTGTTCGAGGAAGCGCTTGAAAAGTATGGGAAGGACTTTAATGATATCAGACAAGATTTTGTAAGTATATTAAGGTTACATTCCAGCTGTAAAACCTATTTGCAGAATATAGAAAATATAGTCATGATATTGTAGTTTGTTTCTTACTGTAACCAAATGCTGATAGGTTTGTTAGCTTTATTTCATGTCTGCTGCTTCTAAATATTCACCTAACTATTTTGTAGGTAATTCCTTGCCAGGTGGCTCTCATGATATGGGGTGACTTACAGGAGGTCCTTGAGTCCTCCAAAAGGAACTATCTTTGTCAACCTGAGTTAATCTGTTATTCCTATCATATACTGTAGTGTTGGCCTTAAATCCGGAGGCCACAACAGTAATTTTTTCTGAAGAACTAAAGGTCTATTTGGAACAGTGACTATCCACCTGCCTGAGCACTTAATTAACCATAGTAAGAGACTCGGGTTTCAGTGAGTCCACCTCAGCATGAATGAATCTGACCTACTCCAGGTCTGGTCAGTTGCCCACATTTGGTCCTAGCTGGTAGAGATCAGTCACAGCTGATTGGCTCTTTCTTACTCTGCTTTTCCTCAACTCAAAAAAGCAAAAGGTCTTCCTCATAGGGATAAGTAAGCCAAGTCTACTGTTAGAATGTTTTTATTTTGGTAAGAGAAATTTGCTCTTACAAATTTTGTTTTATTATGGTTAATATTTTTCTTATTAGTCCAGCCAAAAGGTAGTTGGCTTTAATATCAGTGTTTGTAGTCCTTATTCTCACAAACATACACCTGAGTGTACAGTGTATGTGTGAGAACTTGGACTTGCTGTTGTTGTGCAGGATAATGATAACCCTCTGTGAGTTTTAATGAACTTGTATATTATAGGGTACAGTAAACTCCCAACATTGATGGTGGTTAAGTTTTAGGAAATGGGAACAAATGTTAACTCCACAAAGTTAACCTTCCCACGCATGATGACGCGATTTGCGTCATAATCATGATAAGACCAACTTCACGGTGATGCAAATTGAGTCGCCAAACTTTAAAATATTCGCCCAAAAAATTAAGTTTTAAACAGAATTGCATCAAATTTTGATGTGTCATAGTAGCAAGTAAGTTCCACCAATTGAATTGGCAACTCTCGAGGCCCATAGGAAGGGAAGGCCGGAACAATAAATGCACAGTATTATCTCAGCAGCCAGACAGCGAGTGTGAGCCACGTCCATTCAAATTACCATAACTCCGTGCAGGCTTCCTCAACTCATGGATTACACTGCTTACTCTACTTCCTGAAATTTTTTTTTTTTAGTGTTAGTGAAGTGATGGTTGTGTAATGTAATGTTTTTAATTTTCAGAGAAAGTGTTTAGTTCCAAAAGCCATTACCATATCAGGCTATACAACCTCGTTATAGTGAGAAAAAAAAGTATCTGAAAGAGGATGATTTTCTAGACTTATATGAATTTTATCAGTACTATTCTCTTCATTATAGTGTTGGCTATAAGATGCAATATAATTTATATCGATATAAAACACAGGTACAAAAAAAAATTAAAAGATTTTACAATTTGAGAATCGTTTTTTTCCAGTTTTCTCAAAAACTGTTGGTCATATTAGAAATCTGATTACTGCATTGAAAAGCTCACAAAATTGTGCTTCTAGCAGTGTATAGTACTGTACTTAAAGGGGTATCTGAAACAATTTTGAGCTAGGAGGTTGTGAACGTATTGGTGTATATTTTTTTTGTCCTTGGGTTTATTAGAAGTGACGAAAAATACAGTAGCTATATATGTTATGAAGCCAAAGACATATGATTAATGCCATTAAAAAGTTTTTTGTGGGACATTGATAAAGCAAAAAAAAGAAAAAAAGTAATATAAAAAATTACTGTACTGTCTCGCCTGCCCTGGGGGCTTCAGAGATGTGATCTTGGAACTGGAAAACATAAAACTTATCTCCTGCATGAGAGGGTTAATACCTTAAGTCTATAGGAAACGGGGGAGTTAGGTAGACTGTACCCTTGGACATTTTGGCTAAGGTTAATGGTTGAAAAAGATTGAAGCTGGTAAATGGGTCTGAAAAGACACCTTAGCACTTAGGGAAGGAACACTTGCCCAAATATTAGCTTTATTTTTCTTTGCACGTCTCTCAGTAGACCAGGCGTCCACAACCTTTATATAGTTGGCCACTAAATGGTGCAGGTAATCAGCAATCAGCCGCAGGTGTACTAAGCCAACATAAGTCAGCACTGCTTTCCACAGAATTGAATGTAAAATCAGAAATGCAGTACAGTACTATATTTTATTGTCAGAACATTTTTATAAACAATACTGATATTTAACACAAAACATAGTTTTCATTTTCAGCATATGCATATTCTGCATTGAAATAATAGCACTAGCCAGTAGCCCAGTTAAATATTGTGTAAAGAAATTAGGGAACATAACTTTTAGCAACACAAAATATGGAAATATGAAACTGTCAGGCGGCCGCATACGTAACACTTCTCACAGAAAAATGGGGATTACGGACCCCTGCACTAGACTAACTGTGTAATAGCACCCGACTGATGCCACAGATGGGTTGAATGAGTCGGTAAGCGGATTTACAGTAGGATTGATCTTTATAATCGCAGGGTACGAGACTATTGACAGAACAGATGATGTACAGCTGGAGGCCTTGTTTTACCCTTGGGAGACACAAACTTTGTTTTATTTAGAACTTTTAATTTGACATAGCATTCATTGATAAGTGTGCTTGTGTTGTTGCTCTTCATATGATAATTACCTGAATTTTATCATTAGTACTGTAATTAGTCTTGCTAATACATACTAGATAACATCAGTTATGAGAGATTTGGTAAAAAATAAGTTTTTCATTGCAGTGACTTGTGTACAGTAATACTCAGTGAAGGTCCCTATGTTAGGTGTTGTACATATCATTAAGTGGGGATCTTCTCAATCATATTATTTAGTGTAAACTTATGGGAATTATTTTGTGTGGTGCATACACTTCTGTGCTTTATCAGTATCGTATGAGAAAGTTAGGTGTTGGGTAATGTCTTCTTTGAGTGGTTATGACTGTACTAAGCCTCAAACACCGCTGTGTTCAGAGTAAATGGTGAGGAAAGTAAGGCCTGTCTTGAGGCCCCTTCTGTTTACCATGGTGATAAAGGCTCTTGTGAGATTTGAGGACTGATCTGATATTATTACTATAATAATAATACAGTCGGCCCTTAACATACGCTGGGGTTAGGTAACAGAGATACCCGTGAATGTTAAAAATCCGTGTAAATTTGCTCTGGCTTGTATCCCTGCTCCTCGAGTATTGCTTTCAACTCTGCTGGGAAAGCTTTCGCGGCCATGGTGTCTGCTGACGCACCCTCCCCAGTCATCTTCACATTCTTCAGGCCGAATTGATGCTTGAAATTGTCAAACCACCCCTTGCTGGCTTGGAAAGGTGTCGGAGGTGTCTCAGGTGTGGGGGTAGCAGCACTGGTACTGGGTACGGGTTCTTCAGCTACAGGCGTGAAGCGTGTGTGTAGAGACTTTGCTTTCTCCCGGATAAGGATAAAGTCCACTGCTACACCTTTCCAGTGCTGGTCCTCTATCCACAGAAACAAGGCATTCTCCATCTTCACCATTGCCTTCTCCCTGGCTGACATGCTTAGCACTGCGTGGAGCACTGGCACTTACAGCATCACAGATATCTCTTTCCCTTTTCTTGATGGTACGTACCGTGCTTTCATTCACGTTGTACAGTCGCCCCACAGCAGCGAACGACATTCCCTCCCTTAACTTATTCAACAACTCCACCTTCTCCTGCAGAGTCATCACTTTCTTCTGGCGCTTGTTGTCTGGTGTCACAGGACTTCCTATCGTGGAGGGATTACACATAGCCACTTATTGGGTCTCATGGGCAGTTTTGGGTATGTGACATTCTGTGAAGGTTAACTTGATAATGACTTGGCTGCTACTGTTTAATGTTGATATTACTTGTGTTTGGCACTGTTTATCACCGATTCCACTCCTTTCCAAAACAAAATTGTAACTTCTGGGGTTGTATACTGACTATACTGACAACTTTGTGCTGATTGCATGTACATTTGAAGAGGTAATAGAGAAATTTAAGAAATTGAAGGGTGGAATTGAGTCGAAGGGTATGGGAGTGACTGGCTCACTTGGTATTAGATGTGTTAGAACCTTTTTTATGGTGAAATGAATGTGGAGGTGGACAGTCACAATTATAAATAGACTTTTACTTCTTTGGAACAGTCACTATTATGTCCCCCTTATTTGGGCTGAGAGCACCTAGAGAAGGGAGGGTAATCGGTCTGTTTCACCCTGGCCTATGCTATGAGTTTCTGTGTTGAGGACACAAGGATGTCCTGCAGGTCTCCCAGTGTGATGAGAGCTGCCTGGTTTTGTATTCCACTGGAAAAAGGATTTAACACTCATTCCTCCATTTTTTTCTAAGTAGACAGAAAAATGTCTGGTCAATTTTTTGTTTACTGTGTTTTTGTTGCTACAGCTACCATGGAAGACCCTAAAGAATATAATAGAATACTACTACATGTGGAAGACAACAGACAGATATGTACAGCAGAAAAGAGTGAAAGCAGTGGAGGCAGAGTCCAAGCTTAAGCAGGTCTACATTCCTAACTAGTAAGTGGTTTTCATATGTTCTGTCAAATGGTTTTCTTCACAAAACTCAAGGGAAATGATTTAGCCACCGGTCTAATTGAAAATCCTTATTTTTTTATGCGGTGTTGCGAGTCCTTCGCAGTTGAGTAACAAGCAGCATGCACTATACTCCACCACCACCATCTTTTCATCACATTTGATTTAACTTTGTGCTTCTGTATTCTTACTATTCATCACATCACTTCCTTCTTTTTAGCAGGAGGAACTGTAGTTCCAGGTAAAGACAAGTGAAGCAGTGCAAATAACCAAGTGTGCGCCACCCTCAATGTACAGTACCACATATCTTCTCTGAATAAAATATAACATTGGGCTGCAGTGGATACTAGAGAAATGGGTGGCATGAACCAAAGATGTTAGATTCCTGGAAGGAAATTGTCTTCTCTGCATTGTCACAGCCATTTATCAGACTTTTATTCTGAAATAACAGCTTCAGTTAACAAACCAGAATCATGTAGGCAATCCCTGCTACTTCCGGCCGACAGTCAAGGATTATATTTAATATACTCTTAACTCTATTTTGTGAAATTACACCCAAGGAAATCATTCATTAAAGTGTCCAATTTGATCAGGAAAGCAAAACAAAAAATACTGACTTAAAACAATTAATACTTATTGTATGTACAGTAAACAAGAACACAGGAAATAATACCACATACTTCTCAGACCTACATTGTTTCGTGATTATCCACCTCAATCCTATAATGCTGCTCTTCCCCTGTTCACAAAAATATTACCTAATATTCAATCAAAGTTCCAAATGGGTAAAATAATGCAAAATACAACAGTATCAATGGATGGAATAAGATTACATTCACTTTCCTGATCTCACTTCTGTATGCTTTGGTATCCCGCAGGAAGAGAGGGGACAAAACCAAGACAGATACATCATTACAATTAGATTATTCATAACAAAACTTCTTTATATATATTGTTACATGATTATACTAGAAGTTTTATAGAAGTACAGGTAATATAATTCATATACAGGTTGTACCTCTCTAGTCCGGCATTCTGTGGTCCGGAAACTCCCGTGGTCCGGAACGATTTTAGTTTGTCCAATAGGTAGATAGGCAGCTTTTTTTTTTTTTTATCTGAATTATTATTAATATTACAGGAGTATTAAATTTGAGCCCCTCAGGCCCCAATGTGGGTCAGTGACCTATGCCCGGGTGGGCTAATACCCTTAAAAAACAAAACAAAAAAAACAAAGCCCCTGAAAATTAAGGTTTGTTTACATCCAGCAGTTCGGCTGCTCTCTCTCTCTCTCTCTCTGCTTGTCTATACAGAGTACAACATTTAACCCTTCAATATATATGAGAAGTAAATAAGTGTTGCTTTCATATTCTTATGTAGAGTAATGACGATATGTTTTCACATGTGAGCACTTACATACGCGCAGTCTCACTTTTTTTTTTACCATTAATGGTTAGCTACTTATATTGTTCCATTTATTAACATTAAATAACATTACAGGTACTTCAAACAACCATATTAATTTTTTTACATTAGTTTTACTACAGTTAAAATCAGGGTCTTATTTTCTTCAGTTTTATATGTAGAACCAATCAGTCACTGGTTTTGTAAGCTTTAACATAAACAATGCCGGCAGCCGTCTCGTCTCCTCTAATATTCCACGTATTATTAATAAATTGTATTGTTAATTTTGCACAAAACATTAATTCAATAAAAACAAATTCAGAAACATTAATTTAAATATATATGAACAGTAAATAAGTGTTGCCTTCATATTCTTATATAAAGTAATGACGATATGTTTTCACGTGTGTGCATGCGCACTTACATACGCGATCTCTCTCTTTTCTTTACCATTATCGTTCGCTACTTCTATTGTTCCACTTATTAACATTAAATAACATTACTTAAAACAACCAAATTAATTTTACTACAGCTACAACCAGTCTTATTTTCTTCAGTTTTATATGTAGAACCAGTCGGTCACTGGTTTTTTAATCAACGAAAACAATGCTGTGTCATTTCCTCGTGTGTGTTGATATTCTACGTATTATTAATGAATTGTATTGTTCATTTTGCACACAAACATTAATTCAATAAAAAAGGCATTCAGTAATAAACAATAATTAATCTTTTGTACATAAGAGAAATGACGCTGTTTACACGATTATGCACGTCGTCTGCACGTTGACGGGCCGTTCAAACCCGTCGAAATTCAAGTTTCCGCCGTCAAAATTTTTATTTTATTTTTTTGTGTTCCAATAAAATACGTTAAGAATTAAAAACTCGCGAAATTTGAGAAGCTACTATACGACATTTAACCCTTCAATATGTCTTCAAAGAGACCATGATGCAGAGAAAGTGGTGCGAGTGCTTCCAAGCATAAGCACAAGTCACTATCTATCCAGGAAAAGGGTGAATTTCCATGGTCCGGCACCGGTCAGGTCCTGAGGTTGCCGGACTAGAGAGGTACAACCTGTACTATACACTGCAAACAATAAACTAATTATTACAAAAGCTACACAGCCTTCATATTTACTTGATAGAGAACCACTCTCACAACAGTGAACTGATACAAAACATATTTACAACATACATCTTAATACTATGAAAATAGATAGGCTAATGTACAGTACATTAAACATATATATTTTAACATTAATCAAACAAATTATGTAAATCATTTATATGATTGTATGTCGTGTCGTGTCTAGTACAGTACAGTACTGCGAGTCGATCTTCATACAGTACCGGCAGCAGAGAAGAAAAAGTGTCAACATCAAAGTTTACTGTTGGGGATTGAATTAAAAACAGGAACCGATGCCTAAATATGTTTGTTTTATTATAAGTTAGAAGTAGTTATCCTTAAGATAATGGCCTCAAAATTGTCATCCGTGAATGAAAATTATCTGTTAGGTAATCCTGTTTCACTTATCTTTCCTCCTCTCTTCTCTCATCTGCCAAACACCTCTTTTGCTCATTTCCTAGTTTCTGTATGATCAGCAGGGGTGGATCCACGATTTGATGGTGATGGGGGGGTTGGATTTGGGTGAATAAAAATAATGGAGTAAAAGTCACAACTTGGGGTAGGAAAAAAAGTCACATTCTATTTAACATTAAGAAGTAAGAAGAAACCAAAACATTTTAAGGCAGTTGTTAATTGACAATACACGACATTCACAGATTGGCAACACAATAAATCGTGGCATTATTAGTACGCGAAAGCCTCCGATAACTACGGTGCTACTGATGACGATTCATATTAAAGACCCCGGTTAATTTAGGACCCAATTCAATTTACGCCATTTTTGCTTCATATTTACGACGAAAATAGAATAAAAAATAAAATAAAATTACATTTTCATATAAATAATAACCAAATCCCGATATGTATTAAGAAAAAACAAACTTGTGCACGGAGGCTGCCAGGAGTGTTAGCGGTAACACCAGCATCACTAGTATAAACAGTCGCAGCTGGTGGGCCCTTTGTTTTCACGCATCTGAACAGGAAAATGGGAAGAACATTCTGATTTCTTACAGCATTTTTGTGTCCCTATTTAACAAGAGAGCAAGTGATGGTAGTGCTGGTTCAAAAGGTAAAAGAAAGTGTATAAGCTTGGCAGAGAAACTAGATGTGTTAAAACGACATGAAAAAGGCGAGAGGTGTGTGGATATTTTATGGAGCAAGCAATGAACATATTTTCGGAAGTGGATCCATTAACAGAACAAAGCGTTAAAATGAACAGGGACGTGAAAAATGCAAATGACCTCTACATAAAGATGTATAATGAGAAAAGAAAGAGGCTGTGCAAGGTTCTCTCGACAGCTTTATTACCGTATATCTCGGCCTATAAGACGGAATTTGAACCTTAAAAAAATCAGCCCAAAGTTAGGGGGTCGTCTTAGCACCAGATATAAAATTCTTACATCTTAAATACACAAACACATACACAAACAAGCTCCCTTACTACCACCCAACACCTCATCTCCTCTGGGTCTCTCATCTTCAACCATGTCAACACTCTACATACTGTATACGGGCAGACACACCCAATAAACATGCCATGACTTACAGCCTAACATAATGTTTGTTTATGTGTCGTCCTACACATTACTGCTTGCGGTAACACCCAGATTCCTGGACAAACTGGTTATGTAGATCATGAAAAAAGACTGGCTGATGTTGTAGTGGTGGATATATAAATAACATTGTCATTTTTACTTTGGGGACCTAATGACAAGAAGCTAATAGTTTGTACAGAGAGCATAGGGGGTTTATTCCTTAGAAAATATTGTATTGTTGGCACTTTAGTTCAGTATGGACACCTTGTGAAGGAATAGGCTGATGCAGTCTGATATTGAAACGGCATATTCCGCCAGAAAAATACTGATACGGAGTTGATAATAGTAACAATATTGACATGGCTGAGCCAGTTGAGAGCCTGAGCTCTCTTAGTGACACCTGATATATACTGTACATTTATTTCAAGGAAGTATTATGTAACATTTAGTATCATCTGGAATAGTACGTGTAACATGGCGGTAGTAAAAACATATCGGAATGTTACCACGATTATCACTTGGTTTTTTATTTATTTTATTGTAATATTTTTACATTTGTTATAAATACTGTACTGTATATACATATTTTACAGTGTAGTTGATATAATACTGTCCATTAATATGATAAGGTTAAACAAGAGGACAGAAACAGTCAGGATCATGTCTTGACGGCAAATATATAATTATTGCAATGGTGATCTATATCTACAGTATATGCCAATTTCTGATATAATGGTTTTGGTTGTACAATAAAAGTAGGAATATAAAGTAGGCATTACAAAAATATTAATACTTAGACAATCGATATTTTTTAAGAGATTATTATTTTAAGGGAAGGTAAGTACACTAGGTTGGATTCAGTGAATTAGTTACATTACAGTACTGTACTGGGCACAGTAATTTGTCTTACCCATTCTCCAGGAGGTATCAGTTCAGGTTTATATTTTTTCCATGGACATAGGATCAGATTTGTCAGATTTTTTCTTTTTCCCAAATTATTCAAGAGGTTGTGGAAATGAAAGAGTTTTTGGGGATCACTTATCTGGAGTCTTCATTGTGGCCTAGTAAGGTATGTTTCCCTCCTGACTCATCTTTGTCTTAATACTCTTCCACGTCCCTTAGTGCCTTTAGAACAAAATTTTAGAGGATGTGGTTTCATATCCTTGTTGTCAAACTTGTAATATACTATTGTTTGTCTTGTAGGTCTTCCTTTTACAGTATCTCGTATGGTGTTAGTCGAAGCTTCATGAAATTATTAGTTGGTAATACAGTATTTATCATATTCAACCTGGTTGCATTCTGTGGATTGCATGACCTCGAAGGCAGTGTGTACCAGTTAACTTTCAGGAGAGTAGGATCTCTTGAAGTCCTCCTTTCAGAGAAAGGACTTTGGCATTAGCTACTTTGTTAGCTGTTAACAAACTTTCACCTACGAGCTGCATGGTCATTGGGAGCTGAAGGTTATGTTTTTCAATTCTTCCTATAGAGACTAGTGTGTAGCTTGTTGTGAGAAAATTGCTGCCATAGAGATGCAGACTGTGCTTAGCACTTGGAGCATTTTTATGCCTCCTTTCTCCCTCTTCTTAAGGTGGCTTTGGTGTACGTGAGCTACCCAAAGTTTTGTTTGAATTTTAAGTGGAGGATTAATTCTGAAAATCCATTTTTTTTCTGAGATTTTGACCTTGTCACTTTCTTTTATAAATAAACAACAGCAAATGAAGTTCGTGGAGCATAAATGTGACCCTTGGCTGGGAAGACTCCCACCCTTTTCTCATAGTTGGAATTACCATACTAAGTATTTACATTTGAGGAGTCAGGTGTGATTGGGAAAGATATGCTTTTTTTTAAGTTGCTGTCAACAGGTTGTTTTGTGGGACCTAATGTTTCATCACTTAGACTTGTTTGGCTGTACTGTACTTTTTACAAATGCATATCCCCCCTTAAATTGAGGGCCCACTGTTGTTCATGGGTTAAGAAACATGCAGGATATAGTTTTTCAATAGTTTTTTGTGCAGTGAAATTTAAATATTAGTTGTATATTTTTTCAGCTTTAATATAGGATATTAACTGTTTCAGCAACAAACCCAACCCAGCAGCACTCTCAAATGGCAAGACACCATCGATGGTGAATGGTGCAGACATCTCTGTGTCTGGCAAGGCCTGTGAGTCATGTCATGGTAAGTCATATCATGGGCTCATTTTATGTCTTCCTTCTTAAACCAGAGAATGAAATATTTGAGTGTCTTTATCCCTGTTTGGCCCACACATACAGTATGATCATTAGGTATTAAATTGTATACAAAGGTACAGTCACCTGCACTTATACCTGGTATAGTGGGCGATGCATTTTGTGAGATGTGGCAACTGTGGAATGCTCATCTTGCATCCTTATCTGGTTACTATTGCGTGGTTCCTTGGGGCCATTCCCGGGAGTTTTAATATAATGAAAACAAACACACAGTTGCCACTGTAACATGTATAAGTGCAGGTTGACTAGTGTCTGGGATGCATGCCAGAAGACTGATCGCTAATCAAAAGTGTTAAATCAGGTAATTATAACTGCTTCAATGAATATTTAGGCCAGACAGCATCATTGCTCATCCAACTAAGTATTACCTATATGAGGGCTTCATTGCTAATATTACAAATAATGTTTGTGTACACATGATAAGTATTTTAAATGAATTTATACATAAATGTGGACTGTACAAGGGAAATATGTTGTCCTTATTTTTCAGAATTGTTGTAATTATAGTCACAGTCAAACCACTTACTGACACACCCATCTCCTAATTTTTTATATCCCACATTTTCACATCCATACTGATTCTTTTCCTTGACTGCTGTACCATCACTGCTGGAGGCATTTTCCCAGATGTTAAGGGTCAATTGAGTTAACAAAATTATGCACAAATATTGAGGAATGAAGAGTGTAAACATGAGTGTGAGGAGAGTTAAAAACTGGGGAAGTGGTGTGACGATTGGCTGAGTACTGATCAGCACACACTGAAAGGTTCTGGAATGTTACTTCCCTTTTGTTGTGTAAAACCAGGTTTGTTTTATGACGAATTAGACAAACTCATCTTTTTCCAGGGTCCTGTAAAATGAGGGACTAAATTGTATATGACTTGGAAAGGAGAATAGGAAGATTATATTGGAATGACAAGGACTCAGGGAATTAATAAAAATCAATTTAAAACATTGCAGGTTAGAATAAAGATAAACTAAACAGTGAGCTACCACATTCTTCACACAGTTAATAAATGTCTTGGGATACTTATGCTGTACTCGCTAAGTGACAAGATATTGTACATACTAGTTATGACCTCCTGATGGAAGTGGAGAGTGAATGGAGATGGAAATCTGAGCAAAGTTGTTATTTACAGAGTAATCAAGCATCTTGCAAGTATTGATTTACTTTGTGCCACTCAACTTAATCTCATAATTGCATTTATATATGGGACTGAGTGCACTAATTCCACACAAGATGTTGGGAGTAGAATAATGGTTGACGAGGAAGATTGGATAAAAGAACAAGAGTGAGAGTGTCTGTACAAGTTGATAATAGGGGTGGTTTGGAGACCCTGTGAATTGGTGTTAATAAATTGGAAGTATTGAGGGAAAATTTTCTTATTTTATTATGCTGTAAAACAGGATTTGAAAATTTGATAGAAGAGATTCTTTTGTTTATAAGATGAATCATAATTTATTGTGATTTTTCAGCAACCAACAGCAGTCAGTGGTATGCCTGGGGCCCCTCCCACCTACAGTGTCGTTTGTGCAACTCCTGTTGGCAATATTGGAAGAAATTTGGTGGCCTCAAGCTTCCCTCACGAATTGGAAAAGAAGAAGGTGGGTGGACAGTGATGTGTGTCAGTAGTGTAAAGCTCTTTGGGATATGACTTGAGGTGATTTTGCAATCTATAATATTGTTAGTTGATCTTTGGAGATGCAGTACCACCTCTGACACCAGACAAACTGGGATTTATAAGAAAGGAGTAAAGTACCTCATCTCGATGGAGATTGAATGTGCAAATGCATCCATGTTAATATTTGATTAAAATATACAGTATATATGACTGGTGATCATTGATACTCTCATGTATCATATTGTTTTGTATAAACATTGTGCTATGAATATTGAGCCTTAATCTCCAGTCCCAGGTTTGGTATTATGAGGTAGTACAGTACTGTACATTCTCAAGCTATCAGTATGCATATATTAAGTTGCATGATCAATAAATAACCAGAAATGTTCAGCATTAACTTACAACTAACCCCATCTGTGGTGCATTAATATATAATTATCAATTAATTTACCATTTTCCAAAACAAAAGTTATGATGAATATTTTAATGATGGAAACTTAGTTTTACTTGCTCTCCAGAAATGCCAAATGAAAATCATTGATCTGATAGGAGGATTACATCTCTTGGTGGGTTTTCATGAAGTTTAGCTTTTGGAATTTGTCACTTGGGGTTACATTGTTGCTACTGTGTCTGTGGATCAGTCTTGTTCTAATCATGTGCACATCTCAGACTAAAGGTAGAAGTAATTCTGTTAGTTGTTGATTTGGCTGTTATTTTAACACATTAAAAAACATGTTGGGAGCTTACCTGCAGTTTTCTCTAGATATTTATAAATCTTTTTGTCCTTTTGTTTTTAGACCTTCCCCTGAGTTTAGTGGTAGAACATTTTCATGATCTAATGTGATTATTGACATGAAAATTGTGGATGTGTCAACTGTTGGGATCATTTGTCAGCTTGGCTTGTGGTTTGTTTATCTCAGTTTAGAAAATGTTTCTAAGACACTGTCCTCAGGGGCGCCTCCAAATAAACATATCTATCAGTGCATCCGCTACTCCCTAATTGATTCCCTAACCTTGGTCCCTCTCTCCAACCACCATAGCTGATATTGACAGTGAAAGTGGAAGAAAAAGTGCTGATATATTTGGGGAAGGTGAGCCGGTCTTCCTCTGTGCATGATTGTGACTTGTTATCTGGTGATAAGTATTGGCGTCTGTTGTTTAATGACCCATGTTATGAAACTTACTACCAAACATTTTCTTCATTTCTGATTTAATTTTTTTTTATTATTAATTATGGAAGGTGTTCATAAGAGGTATTAGGAGCACATCTGATTGTCAGTCACTTTATGGTAATGTTTCAAATTAAATATGATAGTGGCAGTGCCCATGTAATTTTACTCTGCTGATGAAGAGCTTGTGATATATGCATCATTGCCTTGTAATAAATAAAAGATGATTTGTTTTATTAATAAATCTAAGGTGTACTGTATACAGTATTAAAGTATATTGTTGAACTTTACTACAATTGAATTCTTACCTTGGGATGAGTATTGTGTTAGTACTGAATTAATGTTACTTTACTTTATCTTAGATTGACATTACATCTAATGAAGGTAGAAATTTTTTGTTTTCTTATTTAGAAGAAGAGGAAGTATTTACTCTTCAAATGTAATTGCACTTTATCACCATTCTGTGATCTAGAGGTTGTCAAATATTACCACAAATAAAATCTCAGTGGCACCTCTGTTGATGAATATTAATTTATGTTTTGTCAGTCTTAAGGTATTTTTGTGTTTTATTGTATCATTATTTTATGTAATGGTTTTGTTCAGCATTTATCTTCTTTTGGAGGTCATACATGACTAGTGCAAAGACAGTTGTATCTTGGAATATGTAATGTAAGGAGAGGATGACCAAGAAGGAGTCACTTGACCTAAAATATGATTGGTTTTAGTATAACAAGTACAGTAAATTGTGACGGTGTCAAAATTTCCATTATTTTATTATGGAAGGTTTGTTGCATCAAACCTCTGATTTACATTAATTATCTTTATCTATATTTTTCCTTAGCAGTCTTATACTGATTATTAGGTTTTTAATGAAAATACGATTGGATTTTATTAAGTAAAGGTTTATCGGCATATATAGTGTAGGATATAAAGTGTATGGTGGAGTGAAAGATGGTCAGAGTGAGTTAATAGAAAGACACAGCAAATGTAGGAACAATTAGTATTGTGTACACTGCATCTTTTATTTGACTGATCTCATAAATGACGAGAAAATTTTAAAATTATTATGAAGAAATTATTGCAGGAAGAAAAGTACATGAGGTAGTAAATTATTTGTTGAAAGACTTCAACATGCTTCAGAAATAAGCTAGAACATGCTTGAGTAATAAGAAAAATAGGACAGGTTTATTACATATAGTACTGTATACTGTTACATATAGATTTGCATCGTCTTAAAACCAGTGTTATCAAATCATACAGTATATGTTAGCTCCAAGACCCATGTAGACTTAAAGACATACTGAAAATTAATGCAAATAGGATACTGAAAAAAACGAGAATTGCAATGAAGTGGAGAGAAACAGCAAAATAACCAGAATGTTTGGTAAACACCCATCAGGAGAGGTTTGTCTGAATGCCCAAGCATATGGTGCTTGAACTGTGGACCTGTACCAAAGCAAACAGTCAGGAAAGAGAGAGAGAGAGAAAGAGAAAAAAAAATTCCTATGTACAGTCCCCTTCACTAGTGCGTTTACAGGTGCTCGCATATAAACATTCCACAAATCAATATCTTTGAGATATTTGTTTTAATATTGTTTTAATTCCATTGTATGTTTACTATTGTGAGTTTCCTTCTGTCAAATGTTAACGAACACTGCTGCCACACTGCACAGAACCTGATGACCCCTGTAATACACTAGTGAAGGGGACTACTCTACACGCTTCCTCCACCAATTTGTTCTTTGTCAGAGTTTTCTCCTCGGTGAATTGGTCAGGGACACTGCACTACTGGGGCTCCAACATGCTCTGAGATCCTCCACAGACATAACATGGGTCAGCAAAGGCCGGTAAACACCCAACTACAGCACACTCATGCCTTGTGGTATTCCCCATCACTACACAGTGTGGTTGTGGTAATGAATCAAAATATGGTTATATTTTTGGCCATTTTTGTGTATGTTTTCCTTAATGGGCATTTGAGAGTGGTTATACAGTAGTCAGTAAAGTAGGTAGAACTGTACCTAGGCATCAGAGGATGTAGGAAGAGTTGGCAAATGAGATTGGATGAATGTTTTGCTTGTACAGTAGTGTAAATCGTCCACATCCTGAAAAGGGCGTGAAGATATTAAAGGCCTTTTGGTTTGTTGCAGCTGTTCCACATCAATAAGTTAAGAGTAAGATAGATTGATGGAATAGTTAAGTGCACAGTCAGAGAATATTGTTATATAAATTGTTTTTGAAAAGAAAGAACTAGAATTTAGTTACTTTAAAAAGAAAAGTCGAGAAAGGTCCTGAGTATATGGATTTTAGATGAGTGAAATTTGTAAAATACAGTACTGTAGGTGGGAAGTATTTGAGGTGGCCTCTTGGTGAAGGTAACAGTACAGTAGAGAAGGCTGACATGTTGAAGTACTGGAGCTCAAAGAGTAATTAAGGAAAACAAACCAAGGAAACATTTTATTGGATAAGGGTCTCAAAGATTTTTAATTAGAAAATGTAAAATTAAATGAGTAAAGATAAGGAGGTATCAAGAAATTTGACTGGAAAGACTTTATTAAAGAGAATAGCTGGCAAATTGACAGATACATTAGAGATACAATTAGTGAAGACATATTGTATTACAGTACTGTACTGTATAGAATATATTAGAAGTAAGATTTAAATGAAAATTTAACAATATCCTATTATGCAAAAGATAGATATTATAAGATATAGAATGCTGTGGTGCTATAATTCACAGTGAAAGAATGGGCATAGAAAAATTAGCGTATTTGGCAGAGTTGTGTTATTGTATGTGGTGAGGGAAAACTTATTATTAGGTGGACATAAATAAGGGTGTAGCAGGATGCAGAGAACATGTGGCTGCCACCAGTGTACAGTATGCTGGTGATAATGTCAAATTTTGAACCGAGTTTTTAATAATGATTTTATTTATTTTTTATTTTTTTGAAAGGTAATTCTTCATTTAGTGAAAGTTGTTAACTATCGAGCACTTTTTTGTCATTTTCTTCTGTGGTCAAGAGAGATATAGTGTAGTAATGATTTTAATAACCAAATATTGATTTTGGCAAATTATACTTTCCATTGTCTCATGTAGCTTAACATTAGTATTATAATGTTTATTTTTATTGGTCCAGTGGAAGACAGTTAGTTTACCAATACTGTGCTGTGCTCACTTCTCCAGCAGATGATTATGTAGCTTATATTAAGATAACAATTTACTCTTGGTGATGTTTTTCATCTCCAGCTTTGCACTTGTCATGTAGCGACTTTTTAACATTGATCTTCCTGCTGCTGTAGTGTAAACTTACCTAGATGGAGGAATGTTTGTTGCTTTACTGCAAGTGGATAAAATGTTAGTACTGTACTGTACAGTAAGGAGTCTCTCTCAAGAGAAATTGTCCTATTGCCTATTATGCCATATGTTAATTTATTTATATATTATTTTAATGTTTAATTATATTTTTATTTTTATTTCAAAGAATATATACACTTTTAAATTAATGTTATTTTGCACTTGACAAGTCCTATGCTGAATCAGTAATTTATTTACCCCCATTTTTTTTCTCCAGTAACCCTTTATTTTATGCTTTAAAGTTAATGAATAACAATTATTATATTTTTAAAATTAACTGAATTTAAAATTCCAGTAATAAATCAGAAGTCTGCTTCTTCTGTTTTGGTAGAATCACTGAATTGTCATGCACTAACTGCAACATTGACAATTGTCCAATTTCTTTCTTTTTATTCATTAATATGCTGTGATACTTTCAAGTAATAACTGGTTTACATAAAGCCTGAGAAAGAAATTAAGTTTCTTCATGTTTTTAGTTCCTAACCAAAAAGTTCACAAAACACAATATCAATTGAGAAGTACAGTGTCATGATGAGGGATATTTATGTTAATTCTCTGCTGTAGGTGATAAATGGTAGACCAGGTCATAGTGTTATGTACATACACGAGTTTGACCAACAAAAACGTGTAGGTGAGAGTGTACAGTATATTGTACGTAGTTGACATATTTGGGTTAGTTTTTGTTGAAGCAGTAATAACTCCAGCCAGCCAAGGATGAACGATAATTCATTCATAATTGAATTAAAGTGTGGTAACTCAGAAAATAATGAATAGATGTTGTGCAAAATGTGACTTTTTGAAGTCTTGAAAATGGAATTTAAGAGTATGATAATAAATGAAAAGGAAAATATTTGCAGTGGTTGATGACTGACGTCTTGATGAGGCTATTTTAGAATGTTGCAGTGGTTCCCAGACACCGGCGGTTGTGTGGCATATTAGTGGATAAAGAATGGATTGAACAGTAACAGTGACAAGAATAGAAATTTAAGATTTATGAAGTCTGTAAGTTTTTAATATAAATAATTATAAGAAAATATTAAGAATTGAATATTTAGTGTGATCAGCAGTAAGAACAGGCGTTTTACTTTCCAGAACGACTGCACAGTGGTGGCAGTCGTTCACAGCGGTGTAATGTGGGTGGGTGTGGCCGGGAGTACAAGACACGCTCGCAGTTAATTCGTCATGCTGCCCAGGCTCACGGTGTGGCCCTACGAGCTGGTTCACCGAGACCCATCATGAAAACAAGGGCAGCCATCATGGTCCATACTAGCCTTCCCATTCGCGTCATGCGACGGCTTTGTGAAGATTTAATCCAACCTAGGAAGGCTTGCCGCAATCCAACGTGGCCCGTGAATGCCACTAATATCCGGCAAGAGAGTAAGTTGTGTGCCAGGACAGTCTGAATTGAAATAGTTTGTGGAAAAGTTGGCAATAATATTCATTGATCAACATCATTAGCTTAGCAGTTGTGAAAATAGATATTAATAACCTGAAATCCTCAGAGAAGGGTTTTAGCTTATGAATGCATGGGCCACTTTATGGATAACGTTTCAGGTCTCCTGCGCATGGGTGGGAAATCCTTTGATGATTTTGCATACCTGGTGAAGCGTGGGACGGGGCGGCGACGAGGGAGAGTGTCTCAGGTCTCTGTCCGCTTAGGTCAGAAGAACTCTTCTTGCCCCGCCTGGATGCTCCCTACGGACAAGTCACTCCTTCCCAAACAACCCCACATTGCATTCCCAAAACCTCCCAAGGGACCAGGTTGGTTTGTTCATCACACACTATAGGTTTCACCATTGTTATAGTTTCATTCTGGGATCATGTTGAATTCCCCTTATTGCCTGAATGATTAATGATGGCAAAAAGCTGTCAGTCATGGTGGTTGGAGAGAATCGGCAAAGGTCCTTCAAGACAGTGGTTGACACTCGATCATGGCTTTTATGTCACACCCAAATCTTGTATTTCGTGGCTTGTTTAATATGTTGTCATTTTCAAGTTGCAGCTTGAAGGGCTTCTGCACATTTGTGATTGTGGGAAGGTTTTGTTATATGTTTCTCTAATTGCTGCTTGCTGAAGGTTCTTTTGAGGTACCTATGTGATTCCTGCTTATTATTCCTAATTTTTTTATTAAATTTTTTGTTTGTTGATTAATCCATTTAATGAAATGGTGTACAGGAGCTATATGACTTACAGATGGCAGCCTGATATACACGCCAGTGCCCAACAAGGAGCTTCCTGTTGTGAATAATACTTCCCCAACACTTCTAAAAAGGCGAGCATATGAAGAAACCAATGGCATGGACGGTAAGTCTGCCTCTCTCTTTTTTTGTTCACTTTTTAATTACTCTTGGTCATTCCTTTGACCATCTGTCTGGAATAATTGACCAAACATTATGGTCAGTATGAATCCAGGTACTTTTTGAGGCAAGTAAATATTCATTAGATATGTGGGCACTAAAATGCATTTCTTACGCCAACTTGCCTTCAGCAATTTTCATCATTGCATTTGATGTTTTGGCATATCTGTAAACATTGTTTTTATACCTTTTTGGAAAATTTTTATTAGTTTGGAAAACCTCCAGGTGAATTTTACATAAGTTGATAAACATTATAGTGTTAATATTAAAACTAAAAGAAAATAAAAGTGCTCAAATTCATTTCTTTGCTTGTATACCCCTTGTTTGGAGGTACACTATATAGTACAGTACAGTATAGTGTTTTTAGATGAAATAAATTAACTTACTGCAACTTGAAATGATCAAATAATAGAAAATAGGAATTGGAATATGAATTAAAAAACAATTACAGTAAATTGGATCTTTAGGCATCCTTAATATAAATTGCGGCTCCTTGTGAGTTTATACTTCTTTAACTAGAAGAGCTCACAATTCTTTCACCAGCTGTAAACCATCACCACATCAACTGTGTTTCTCTCATTATCTTTGCACAACACTGAAACTAGTATATCTTCATTTAAACAAATATAGCTTTGTGTACAGTATATATATATATATATATATATATAATTTTTTTTTTTTTTTTTTTTACAATTTATTTTTGTTCTGGAAACTTTACCTTAGAATCTTGTCATTTGGTCTGTCATACTGCATAGTACTATTGTCAAACTTGATTACAAAGAAGTTATATATTTTTGTATGTCAATCTCATCAAATTCCATGCAGTTGCACAATTTGTATCCCTACACTGTCTCTCCTGTTCTCACTTCTATCCTTTTACAGTTTCTGTACTGCTCCTTGCTTTGAGATGATGAACAGTCAAGTTACACACACACACACACACCTACAGCATTAGTTTACACCTCATGATTCACTTTTCTCCCACACATTTCTTATTTGATAAAATGGCTTATGATGATCGTCAGGCTTCCTTGCATGTCACACAAGGTAAATTACATTCCTTCATATATTCACTTTGACCACCTACATATTGTACTGTATATTAACAGTTATCTTTTCCTGTATTCTCAACAGGAGAACTAACTCACATAGTTTATACTGTACTGTACCACATTTCAGCACCAAGTTTTGTAACCAACAGGGAGACTTAAAGAATAATTGAAACTTTTTGCATGCTTGTCAGTTCTTCACTTAAATTGAACAGGTGCAATGTGCTTGGTTTAAAAAGTAAAGAGTTTTTAAAGGTAATAAAGATTTACTCAGTAAAATGGTTTCAGGAAATTCATGAACATAACAAATTCATTGGTGATGGATAACACTTCAAAATGCCCAAGTATTGTATGCAGTTGTTAGCTACATGATCTCCATATTCTTCAGATACAGATAATTCTGTTGTTTGTTCACTGTTATATACTGTACCATTTACATTTTTGTTGGGAAGACATATACAGTACCTTGAAAATTCCTGCTTTCACTGAAATTGTAATTACCATTACTGTATACAGAAGATCACAAGCTTCTTTCCACCAGTACCGAGAAGTCACACACATTTTCTTGCAGTTACTTATGTTCTTCAGTTTTAATTCCTTTAACACCTAAAGGGTAATTTTACTATGCCTTGTACAGTTACCAGTTGATTACGTTGAAGGTCAAGGGTAATCATGTAGTAGCTGTTATGCATTAACTTCTATATGTCTCAACTTTTGATTTTGGAACTGGTAACCTAAATTTAATCAGGCTTGATATACAGTACCGTTATTATTTTTGTAACAAGGTCTACAAAATTTCGTCTTTGGTATGTGTATCAACCAGTTAACTCTTATTTAACACTTGTTATTTAAAGACTTACTTCTACTGTTTACATATTTGGAACGGTGAAAGGATTAAAGCAAAATTTGGCATACTTGATCATTGTGTAAGGGAAGCTTAAATTTATTCGTACCTTAGTTGGAGAAAAATAATGAAATAGCCGCCTGTATTGTGTTCCCTTGCAATCAACATTTATTTTATTAATTGTCATTTTCATTGACAGAAAGCTAAGCATAGCTTTACTCTTTGATGCTTCCTTCATTTATATATTGCCAATGATGAAGCAACCTTTCAGTGGACTATCATTCTACCAGGGGGAGGGGTTACACACTGCCTTCTGAATGTTAAGAGACCAGGGGATGAGCACCTGTTCAGCTACCCTGCATCATAATTTTAAGTCTGGGTTGAGATTTCAGCTTCACAAGCTGTCAGCACCTCTTGTCAATCCTTCCATCACCCATTCATCTTGTATCTTCTTGTGTAGTTTCACCCAAATCAGTTAGTATGTGATTTTATTGATGTAGCAAAAGTACTATTAAAAATATTGTGGTAGGGGGTTTTTTATGTATAAAATACTTTTTTTTTAGGCATCTAAATGTTTGGCCTTCATTGAACACTAATTTGTATAGTTTCAGTACCATGAATGATATTAAGTGTTCATAATATGTCAAGTGGATATACAAGCAAAGATTGAAAACTTGAGAGATAAGGTGACGTGTTGCTGTTATAGCATTAAGAGTAACAGAGGTTGGCTGTGGCTGCTATCACAGACTTTGTTGTTTGGCAATAAAGTATTTCACTTACCTTTGTAATTGCTGATGAGGATCTTGATATGTGATAGGTACTGTACCTTGTAAGGGGAATAGCACATATTACTAAACTGAAGTGGAGTTAGTAAAAGCCTTGAAACCTGGGTGCAGTTTAATTCCAGATGATTTATTTCCTGTGGTTTTCAGTTTTCAAGTATAATGCTAGGATAATGTAATATTCCCTTTGACATCATTGTATTTATTTATTTTTGTTACAATATTTGTGTTCAAGATAACTTAAGTCCTTGTTTGTGTCAACCAGCCTTGGCATATATACACGCACTTGGCCGAGGAAGATTTATATTTTGGAATCAGTAGATCATAACTGAGGGACATAACGAATAAGAATTACTTTGCCCCAAGAGCTACCATGCTCAAAACACTTGCAAAAAAGGTTAAATATTTATGGCTCTTCAAGCGGCATTTATTATTGGCAATAGGAAATAAAAGAGTATGAAATAGAATAAGGGTTGCCTTAACTATCATGCTTAACTAAAAGAATGAAAATAAGTAAGATTAAATAAATGGAGAGATCCAAATAAGAGAAAGAATAAGAGGAATGGGAAATACAGTATACAATAGTGTTGTAGTGTGATGTTAAAACAAATTTTGGAATTAGAGGATAAAGGCAGACCAAAAGGTAGTTCTTCAACATAGAGGGGGAAAGGAAACACCAAGAGATGTAAAGTCTCCATGTTTCTCTATATATATTCATGCCACTGACTGCTAAGGCTGAGAGTGAGAGTGTGTGTGTGCGTGCGAGAACACTTTGATGTAGGGTAGTTCTATTTGTAGTTGTATTTTGAATTGAAACAGCTTAAGGAGACAAGGTAATGTGTACAATGAGAAATGGAGAGAAAAGACTGTGTCAAAGGAAGCAAAGATAGAGGTATAAAGGACATTGCTGAGGCAACAACAATGTGGTGAAAATGGTTTGCTCAAGAGTAATGAGATTCAAAGAAACCAAATGCAGATGTAAGGTGTTGTGTGGAAGTAAAAGCAGAGTTGGACAAAGCCAACCAGGGCATGCTAATGTGAGGGATGCAAAGTGGAAGATTGACAAAAAGAAGGAAGAGTTTAAAATGGATGAGGTGAAGGAGGTTATGGATGCAAGGGTGATCAGGAAACAAACATAATTGGAAACCATTAGGTTGAGTGACTCTTTGGGATGTACTGGTGGAGCATGATGCTAGGTTTGGTGAAGTAGCAGGTTACCCAGATGGAAATCCTGGGGACTTTTGGAAAGGAAATACCATGGATGAGTGTTTCTGTTACTATTGCTAAAATTACTGAAGGACGGTCATTAAGAGAGTTTATATTGCTCTTGATTCTGGCCACCGTACACCAGAGCATGAAAGTGTTTGCGAGAGTAAAGATACACATTTTTTTCTCTCTCTCTCTCTCTCATACAAGCTCTCACTTACCATGGTACAAGGTTGCTGGAGTCATGAGCAACACAAAATCTCCATTCACTTACCATAATTCTTTTTCTTTCTCATAACTAAAGTATTCTGCTGTGGTGTTCCTCATCTACAACAAGACCCCAAGTTGTCCATCTGGTTTACCTAGTTGCTCCATATGATAATTCAGCATAAAAAATCTGCAATATATCTTTCCCCTAATGTCACTTAGTACCATGTTGATCATGTTGCATTTTGGATGTCCAGTCCCTTAATACTGTACCCTCCATTCTTTCCTACCACCCACCTCAAAGTTATAGACTTTTTACCAGTGTTCCACTTCCTGTATTCTCTGACTTATTGATAGCACCTCAGCAACTGTGATTTAGTCCTGTGTCCAATGCTGCTTTTGCTTACTTTTTTCTAGCAACCTACAACTTTGTAATTAAGGAATATAAATGTATGAAGAGGAATCATTTTAAAAGTAGGATATCCCTTTTATGTGTTATTGTAGTTGCAACCATGCTACATGACACTTCTATTCAGCTTGGTCAACAAACTATGTACCTTGAAATTTGATATGGATTTGTTGGTAAAAGATCTCCAGGCAAAATTATTCTTGTGTATAAAAGTCTTAAATTATGTGAAATATCTCAGCTAGCCTTGCAACCTCTTCACAAGCTGCATAACCACTGACCAAATCATCGACACGTAATGATGAATGTTGTGTTCTCACCTGCTCATTACACGAATTCCAACCAACATTAGATATGTGTGTTTACATAGATAAGTAAGAAATGTGCGGGTAATGATAATTTGTAGAAATCTAGGCAAACATAGTATGTAAGTTAGTCCATAATTCAAGGGTTGTAATTGTTGGAATTTTCCCATTCTAGAGGGCGAATTGGAAGAAGGTGGGTGAGTTTTACTTCTTTATTTGTTTTGATGTTAAGTTGTTAAAGGAGCACGAATATTTTGGCCATATATTCTTCCTTTAATGGGCTCCACTACGGTTCTGAACCTTTATTTGATCTCAGTCATTAGTCAGTCTGTAATTGTCACTCTAAACCAGTGTTGTGATAATCATTTCTGGCAAATTAATTTTTAAAGTAGTTAGGATATCACAACATCAAGATGATCACAATTTATTAATCAGTAAATCAGTTGATCAGTTATGATAATCAGTAGTGAAATTAAATAAATAGTAAATGCATAGTCATGTGGCATATCATGCACTATCATTTATCAATAGAAAGTTCTGTGAATACTTCTTGCTTAAAGATGCAGTTGATGTGCTTGTTTGATCTACAACTTTCTGGTGTGTACATTTGCCAAATAGTCCAAGGAATCAACCAATACCACAATAGTGACACACATGGTTGCAACTCAGTAAGGCAGTGAAATTGTTCCTTGCCAATGTTGGTCCACAATCTGTACTCTGGAGTCCCACTTATGTTTGGTTGTATTATTGACATTATGGATTTATCAGTTGTTTTCAGTTACCCATTTGTCAAGGCCTTTTTTGCTATCACTGAGTTTTTGGGATATTGAGTTGATAATACAGTATATTGTTTGTGTTATAGTTTTGGTAATGTATATTTAATGATACTTTGATGCAGTAGAAATTTTTTTTCAAAAAAAGTAATGCAATAACTTTTAAATCTTGTAAAACTAGGATTAGTGTCATTGTTCTTAGTGATAGCCAATTTTTTCTAATGGTATTCTTTCCATACTTGACTTAATTGTTAAGTGACATGTAACAGAAATGCAAGTATTTACATACAGCTGTGCCAAAATGTCTCTAATATGAACCTAGTGCAGGTTTAAGGTTCCCTAGAGCTAAAACAGCATGAATTTTTTATTTCTTTATATTTTTTAACAAATTTCTAATTAGGGTTTTATTTGTAGTTACTGTAGTGGGGAGAAGAGCTCTGATAATATCAAATAACCACACTATAATGAGTAGGGCATTAAGAAGAGAACAACTTAAAGGCTGTGAAAAAATACCTCTTGATGAAACTACGGTTAAGTGAAATGGATTTAAATTTTAGTTTAGATTAGGTAAGGTGTTGTTTGGTGTAAGCCTAATTATACTGTACTTACATAATATCAAAATCTGTGTTTAAACCAAATGTTGGCAAATTGAATATATAAATTGCCAGTAAAAACAATTGGAATCATTCAGATTTGTGCACTGTACCTACAGTAGTTAGTTTGGAAATGCAAAGATTTAATGTGGTTACTGTATACTCTAAACCCTCGTTAGCATTGTGACAAACCTCGCAGCAATGTGAAGAACATTCACGGGACTTTTTAATTATCATCACACGGGTTTCTCCACATCAGTGACTTTTCATGATGACACTCGGCAGCAAAGCATCTTTGCATAACTGCATCACCAAACCTAGTGATTTTGCATCATGCAACATATGGAAACATCTGTTTTCAAGAAGTATGTCTATACAATTTTACAAAATTAAATTCATTCGTGATGAATATTGAACTACTGTACAGTATTAGAGTGTGTTATGTAAAGTAGGGTTATGGTCTACTTTTATTGTACTTGAGAAAAACATGTAAACATCTCTTTAAGATAACAATAAACTCGCCCCACACTAAGTTGAAATAGATCTGTTGAGTTTTTTGGGAGACACTGTAGCTCTTAATATAGGCATGATGTAACACTACAGTGAGAAATAAGCATCTGTATGACACACTACAATACTGTATATGTGCTTATATCCTCAATAGAAAAAAAAACTGTCAACAGGTTAAAGCACTGCGCTGCAGAAAGTATTGTTGCCAAGCTTACAGTTGATGCTAAGGACTATGGAAAATTCAAAGGATTTTATTGATATATTTATTAAAAATCATGTACTTAAAATAAACTTAATTCTTAATCTTTTGAGCAGTAAAACTTATGTTTAATATGTCTTTTAGTGTATAACAGGGGTGGCCAGACTTGCTTAACCTAAGAGCTGCGTATGATAATTTCAGATTTTCAAGAACCGTAAAACATGAATAAAATATACACACGTCTTTAGTGTTACATACACATTTGAATAAAAAAAATATGCAAATATTACTATTAAATACATGTATTGTATGCAGTAATATTTCCTAATGTATGAAGTTTTTAAATTGTTAAATTTTTTTTAAATAATCAGGAGTACAAATATATACCAAATGTTATCGAAAGAGTGATGTTTGTTTTAAATGTGCTGAGTATGTTTAATTCATAATGAACTACAGGCACATCTCAGGAAAAAAATGCAAGACTGCACGTCAGTAACATAAAATGGGATTGTTGAAGGAATAAAAGGTGAAAATAACTATAAAATATTTTTAATCACAGTGAAGTAATACGTATCTCCGTTGGCTGGAATCCCTCAAAGCCGGAACTCTCCAATAGCAAAATTTTTCCGGAAAATTCCCTAAATTCCGGGTTTGGGAACAAATTCCAAGGTTGAAAATCGGAGCATTTTCTGGAATAAAAAAAAAAGAGATAAAAAAGGAAAAGCTGTAAAAAAATTTATTTGTGTGTGGGAGAAAATGTCAATTATGAAATAATGCCAATTACTGGAAAATCTGACAAAAATGGTGAGAAAATCACTCCAAACCTTTCTGCTCTGGGCCTGGGGACAAAGGTTCCCAGCGTTATGAAAGATTGCATCAGGTTTAGCCACATCCTCACGTGGTTGGTGCGTGGGTGGGAAGACCAACTGTTTGGGTAATGCTGGATATTTCTTCAAATGTACTGTAGCTAACACAACTATCTGTGCGGGTGGGGATCAATATGCTCCGAAATTTTACGTGTGACTAGTGACAGCCCTCATATATCAAAATTTATCGTCCATGGTCTCATAATGTTTCCCACAAAGTATGCATAGATAATTGTTTTAGCTACTGTACATACAATACTAAAAAAGTAAAATATTACAGTAATAACTCATTGTAATTGCGAGCTGAGCTAACTAGGCAAAGGGTGAAGTGACGAGTCAGGGGGTGAGGTGGCATGTCAAGACACTTACACAGCACACACATTAACAACTTTACTAAACCATTGTCTTATAACTTTTTACTTTAAAATTTCTATTTTAAAATTATTTGATACATGATGACTCGATTTGGCTACTTTTGCACTTAACATTTGATCAGTCAATAAACCAGGGCATATGGAGACGCATTGTACACACGTGATGTCACGAAGCTTCGCATCTGCAACCACAACTGCTGAGCAACCACATAAATTATCACAACCTGTACTCAAATGTATAAGCTAATTAAAATTGTTTTGTCTAGTGCAAACTATGGGATGTTTATACTCAAATTAATTGCTATCTTACAAGAATTTCAGCAATGCAAGTTATATTCTGCTAAATAACATCAGTGACATTTTATAAGCAAAAAACTTAAACTCCCTGTTTTGTATAATTTATTCCCGAGTCCCTGACCCCTACCCCCTTCCACTGACAACTATGCTTTAATCTCCCCTCCAGGCTGTCAACACTCCACCTCCTCCCAGCTAGTTAGTGATAACAATTAATGGGATGAAGGTGGTTTTAGGCTTAAAGATTTCTCTTATAAAATATCAGACTTGACTTGGCAGAATATTACTTGCATTGCTGGAATCATTGCATGATAGCAATTAATTTGAATATAATCATATTATAGTTTGCATGAGAAAATTTTTTAGTCTTTTAGCTTAATACATTTGAATACAAAGTGAATATAGAAAAATGCTGCTCAAAATTATGGGTTTTTCACAGGGAAAAGTCTGTATAACTAGCCCCAGTGGTCAGGATATTATGGTATCAAATGTTAGAGTATTTCAAATAAATTGTTTGTTTACTTCTGTACATAGAGACTGGTGGTCGAGGAGACCCTTGGGGAGAGAAACTGACTGTGCACCCCCTAAAAGGTTCGTCTGCCTCTGTCATTCTTACTGGACAAAATGTTGTTTATTTGAGCTTATTAATACGAGTACCCTTTATATACGTACAGTAAAATGCTTATTTTTACCTTATTATTGAGCTTGTCATTTAAGGATATCTTATTGGAAATGTCTCAAAGTGAATTTATTATGGAAAATTATGGTATCAAATTCATTTCTCTAACACAAATAGAAGTTTATAAGAATGCTGTGAGGAAGGGAGGGAGAGGGGAAGGGCCCATTGGAGGGTAAATGTGACTGCCCCCCCTCCCCGGGTCGCATTGATTATTTTTCAGCAACTACTGTACTGCTTCATTCTTGATACAATACAGTATTGTTTATTTGTTTTTCATTAAACAATACGGATATGTTACTGTAATAATCTGTGCTTGTGAATACTGTACCTGTACCCTTCATATACAATACAGTACTATGTATATACCTCTTAGGTAAAAATATTGTCATTCAAGACATCTTCAGGTCGTAAGACTCACTAATCCCCCACCCAACAATAGGTGACCTAACAGTGCATCAGGTCAGGTTAGTAACATGGCCCAATAATCTCCCACCCCGAGTTTTAAGATGTGATTACAGTTATGTATTACAGTCAACTGAGTGAAGTGTTTGCCTACTCTAGGCTAAAGATGACAGGATCTGCTGGTGAGTACAATATATACAGAGTATGCATTATTTTGTTTACAGTATGAAGAATATTGTACTGTGGTGTTAGCATAAATAACTACAGCTCCTATGAGCTTCATCATTTACTCTTGGAAAATACCACACTGCTGTAACACACAATGCTATATTCACGTCCGTATCATATAGGTCTTTTGCTTTTTAAAACATAATTATTTAACCAAACTTAGATACAGTATTCAGGATTATTTTGATAAAAAATTAGTGTATCTAATGAAATAAGAACTGATTTTATTGACCCCGGTACCAACATTTCTTAGTTTTTTTTTTCTTTTATGGAATGGAATTCCCATCAATATATCGTATAGAAAGATTTCGTTTACGGATATCTTATTGGAAACGTCTCATAGAGAATTTATTGAGGATCATTATGGTATCAAATTCATCTCCCTATCAGCCATGCTTGAGTGAGGAAGGGGGGAAACTGACTGTGTGACCCCCAAAAAAGTTCACCTCCATCAACACACTCAGCCAACATTACCAACACTGCTACACACACACCAACATTACCCACATACCTACTCCAACACCACCCACACATCACACACATCACCCCTACATCACCCCAACATCACACACATGCACACACACAAACACTCTGTCCAACAACCACCCACACACCCTGTCCAACAACCACCCACACACCCTCCAACACCACCCACACACCCTCCAACACCACCCACACACCCTCCAACACCACCCACACACCCCTACATCACCCACACCTCCCTACATCACCCACACACACCTTCCAACACCACCCTCACCCCACATCACCCACACTTTCACCACCCACACTTTCACCACCCACACTTTCACCACCCTCACCACACACACGAGACAGCAAGCATAAGGAGTGAAGGTTTTATTGTTTGACACATCTGCATGTGTGTGACTGCATGGTAACAAGTTAAATATCAGCTGTTAAGGAGTGCTTGGCAACACTGAATTCCACTCCATCTCTCTAATTTCCCACACATTTCTGCTTCCTCACTCCTTATTTTAGAATGTTATGTAACTTAATATTGAAGGGATACAACTTTGCTCATTTATACTTAAACTTATCACAATCTCCCTAAAAATACTTTAGGTTTTGTGTTTATTCAAGACATCTTCAGGTCATGAGACCCACTAATCCCCCACCCAAGAAAGGGTGACCTGACATGCCACCAGAAGGTCAGTAATATGAGACCACCAATTCCCCACCCTACCTCCACCTGACATTGTGTCTGGTCTGGTAGTTACATGAGACCCACTAATCCCCCACAGCTTCATGGGAGTGGAAAATCCAGTCTTTGCTGTAATACACAGCATAATTCATGCCCTTATCATATAGATTTATAATTTTTAAATATATTTATTTAACCAAACTTTTAGATAAACTATTTACGGACTCCGGTAGTTTAAAACATCCCAGCACCCAAAAATGTTCTGGGGAAGTGGGCTAGTTTCTGTCTGCAAGATGTCTAGTTTAGACGCTCAGAAACTTTTCCCAATAACCGGAAAAGATTCCGGGTTTGAGAAATTCGTCTGGTGAGCAGGAAATCTCTCATTCCCGGAAGTGTTTTGTACCAGTTGTTCCGGCTAACGTGGATATCACTTTATTTGGCTTAGTAAACATTTGGTCAAAACTTGGAGGAAAATACCGTATAAAAGAAAAACCAGCAAACCAATAAAATAGAGGTATTTTAATCAGATATCACCTTAATAAGATTGTTTTTCCATAATTCTGATTTAGGTAAATAATCTCATGAATAGTTTTTGTGATTTGTTTTGTAGTGGAGTTTCAAGTTACTGGCTTTGTAGTGAGTGAGTAACACATTGCAGATAAGGCACAAAGGTTTACCTCCATTAACCCTCTCGTGTATGAGACAAGTTTTAAGTTTTCCAGTTCCAAGATCACATCTCTGAGGCCCCCAGGGCAATGTTCGGTGGATTTGGCATCCTGTGTACCGCCGGCAAGGCCGTGGGCTCGTAACACACGTTTTGCCCGCGGTGCCCACCGTTTTTCTGTGAATGTCGGTGACACTAGAATAACCCGTTAAACTACTTCCTTCTTTCCTCACACAGCCAAACTGTGAAATGCTCTGCCTTCTTCTGTGTTTCCATACTCATACAATGTCTCACTTTAAAAAGTGGTTTTCTGGCATCTTCGTGGTGTAGATTAATTTAGTCTTTTTCTCTTGTCTTTTTAATTTCTTTTTACTCTTATTTTTTTTGGCCCCCTCCCCCAGACCCTGTTGTGGATTGATGACCTGTGCCTGGGCGGGCTAGTCCCGTAAAAAAAAAAAAAATATATATATATATATATATATATATATATCCTCACTTATAATAAACATGTGAGAAAAAATACACACCAATACGTTCACAACCTCTTAGCTCAAAATTGTCGGAGCTAACGTTTTAAGTACAGTACTATACTGTACACTGCTAGAGGCGGATATTTAATTTTTTTTTAGCTTTCCAGAGCAGTAATCAGTTCTCTGGTATGTCCAATAGTAAAAAAAGAAAAAATAGCAAAAAACCTATTCTCAATTATTTATTTATTTTATTTTATAATTTTTTTTTTATCTTTTTCGATTATTTTTGTGCCCGTGTTTTATATCGATATAAATTATATTGCATCGTGTAGCCAACACTATAATGAAGAGAATAGTACTGATAAAATTCATGTAAATCTTGAGGGTTTTTGGGGCAATTTTTTTTTAAATAAGCTGGCAGGCGTGCGACTGTATCGCATGATTGTCATATAGTAAAAGAAAGTAACACAATAACTAATAATAAAATGCAATATAAAATAATAGAAAACATATTACAAAATAAATTCATTCTGTACTGATGTAAAATAATATTCTGTACTCACAACTTTCAATGAGGTGGAAGACTTGTAGATGGACTTTGAGGGAGGAAGTGAGTGAATGAGCCCCAGTAAAATGTGAGAGTGAATGATTGTGAGTGTGTGGGGATGTGGATGAGGGTGTGGAAGAAGGTGAGGGTGTGTAAGTGTGGAGTAGAGAAGGAGAGGGATTCCAATGTAGCATAGCTGATAGGTGGAGTATGGGAGGTGGAAAGTGCTTGGTGACCGTGGGAGGCATGTGGTGGGGTGGTGAGGAAGGGAGGTAGTGGGTGGTATGAGTCTTACATAATGCAGGAGATGCTTGGGATGTGGGAGATTGTGGTGGTAGAGGGAGTCTCTGGTGGTGAGGTGTGTGGTAACGTGGATGCAACAGACACAATTTCTCCCTCAGTTTCATGACTTTTTTTATTTTCATGATTATTTACACTACCAGGCTCTTTATTATCACTATCTACTTGATCCTCACTGTCCCTAAACATGAGTTATAGAAAATCATCCTCTTTCAGAGACATTTTTCAAGACATTGTCTTTATTAAAAACATTACATTACACAACCATCAATTCACTTCTATAACACTAAAAAAAAATTATTTCGGGGAGTAGAGTAAGCAGTGTAATCCAGGAGTTGTGGAAGCCTGCACGGAGTTATGGAAATTTGAATGGACGCGGCTCACACTCGCTGTCTGGCTGCTGAGATAATACTGTGCATTTATTGTTCCGGCCTTCCCTTCCTATGGGCCTCGAGAGTTGCTGATTAGTTTAATTGGTGGAACTTACTTGTTACTGTGAAGCATCAAAATTTGACGCAATTCTGTTGAAAACTTAATTTTTGGCGACTCGATTTGCGTTACCGTGAAGTTGGTCTTAACATGAATATGATGCAAATCACGTGCTTCATCATGCGTGGGAGGGTTTAGGGTAAATATAAAATCATCCTCCCACTCTGGCTTAAATTTTTTTTCATCTCCATACTTTTGCTTCTCACAATTGGATGATGCCATCTTCCTTCACAAAATTTTCAGACACTGCCATCAAATAAATTTAATGGTATTTAAAAGCAACTTATTTTTATAAACTGTAAACACATCTTGTATCTGAAGCATACCAGTTAAATCTGGACAGTTCAATGTCCTGTGTTAATGTGTCAGGTCTTGAACTGAGGCCCTGCCCCTCCCCCTCAGCACCGATGAACGACACTTGACAAAATTTTAGCAGTGAAATTAGGATTTAAATTCTTAAATATTTATACCTGTACTCACATTGAATATTTAACTTATGCTCTCTCAGTTTATAAATATAAAGCTCCAACATTTTTCTTATTTACCGGTACCTTTTATATTAATTACGATGTAAAAAGGAGTCCAGCCAAGATACTTTCGCGAGCCGCACATTAAATGTCAAATAGCTGCACGAGCTGCTGTTTGGCCACCCCTGGTGTATAATTTATGCATTAAGAGGTTTATGATGCTCATTATTAATGTGGGTGATGCCTGGAACCTAACTCATATTTTACAATTTCTTCATGAAAAAGATATATTAAGTGACTAATATTTTGAACAGTAAAGTTTTTGTTATGTTTAATTGAGTTTTTTAATGTAAATTTGATGCACTGTATTATGGGTTACTGTATAGTGAGTAGACATATCTGAATGATGGTCTCAGTGGCAACAAAAATATCTATAATTATTCCATTACTTAAAGGTTGTTTAATTACACATATCCTTCAGGAATAAAACCCATTGCAATAATGAGGGTTTACTGTATAGCTTTTTTGTATCAACATTGTCCTCCTTTTTAAAGCCCTGGTTACTTTACAAGGTTTAAGTACAGTACAGTACAGTACAGTTTTTGAGGTGAGATATTAGACAGTATTAGAAAGTTTCTTTCACCTCACCAACTGCATCATAAATATTCCTGTGGTCATCATCATTTCAAAAAGTATTTATGAAAAATCATTAAGTTTATGGCCTGGGGAACTGTAGAGAACCATTACTTAATAGAAATAAGGATTTGGGTGATTATAACCTTTAAGAATGTAAATGAGGTAAATTAGAAGTACAAGTGGTAGTGTCTGCTGATACATGAAGAATGACTGTGTCTTAGTTTTGAACACATGACCTGTGGCAGGTTTGCTTTGCAGTAAATGTAAAGTCACGTTGTAAGAGGTCAACACCAGTTATGTAGGTAGATATATGTGGTATTTGTTCTCTTTGGTTGTGTAGAGGATTGGCAAGCAAAGAGTAAATTATTACTTTTTTGTTGTATGTCAATCTCAGTACAGTAGTCCCTGTAATATACATTTTAGTCTTCAATCCACACACTTGTGCAATCAAGTTTTCCACACCCCGGGGCATATTACAGAACCAAATCTTTCCTGTACAGTACAATTACCTGTTCTCATTATTTCCTCTACACATGTCTCTAGACACCTATACTGTACAGTACAGTACCTATAGTATTTCCACGCTAAGCTGGCCTGTAGGCCACGCCCCTCGTAGTTACAAATAGCTGAATGGTTCCCCTGAGTGTTTTACCTCCCCTGGACTGCGCGTATGTAAGCGCGTATTTATATCGACCTTTTATAATAAATATTTAAAAATTTCTAACATCCTCTCTGCAGTGATAATGCCTTGAAATCATTTGCATTTTGATAGTTCAAATATTTAACATTATTTTAGATAATAACTGGTCTGCTTACCAATTGTGAACACATTTAGTTTGAATTTTCTATGAACCAATCGGCTATTAGAATAGAAGAGGGGCGGGGACTATGGGTCAGGTTAGCTTGGAAAGGGTACAGTGCAGTATGTCTTGTTTATGTAGGTAGCTTTCTTGTGATTTTTTTTTTACAGGCATTATGAAAATTTGGTGAAGAATAGAATTAGTGTGGAGCTTAGTCATTTGTACAGTATTCAGTTAATCTGGCTACTTTTTTTTATAATTTAGCAGTTACTGTTGTTTAGTTAATACCTATACTGTACTTCATCTCTTGTTAAACTCTTATCAAGGGTGTTAGTGTGGCCCCCTCTGTGAGCAAGTAACATACAGAGGCACTGTATAGATAGAATGATATCATGAACTTGTGCAGGAGATATTGTTTTCTGTGCATGTCTTCAGTGCTTAGTGTTGCAGGTTATAAAAAGTAATAGGGGGGGGATTACAAGTACTGTATGTTCATGAGTCTTAGATGTCAGGATGAAGCTAAATAAAAGGTGTTACTCCCATTAAGTTTACTATAGTTTGCCAGTGGAAGTGTGTCTTAGGGTAACACTCAACATGACACATTGTACATACATCTGTTTTTGCACCATTAAGTTTTTCTGTTATGAAATTTGATGATTGGTATAGAAATGAGAGTACTAAGTGTTCATGTGTTCAACAGTAGTCATGCAGTCATCACCAAAATTTTCATGATGAACTACCTATCATATGGCAGGTTGTCATGCATGATCTATCATATGGCAGATTGTCATGCATGGTCACCTAACAGACGTCAAGTTGGCATACAGTCTTGAAAAGTTAAATTTGGAATAACATTGTGTATTGGTTGTTCCTCCCTGTACCTCCCATACTAACCTGGGAAAACCAAACAAACACTTAATTGCTGTATTTAAAGAGTTAATGCTTTACTAGTACTGACAGGATCTACTTAGTAATTTATTAACACATTCTTGTGGTAAAGGACATTACTAACAAAGTGTCAGGGGAATGCCCATATAGACATATTACCTGGCGCAGTCTCCTAATAACTGTGACCAGCAGCAGGCCAATCCTTCCCCAGGAGTCCAACCAGCAAAGCGGCAGAAGGACTTGGAGGGGCTGGACTCTTTACATCTGAATCAACTGGGGGTCATCCCTCCACCAGGGCTGACGGTTACACCAGTGGGGGTGAATGGGGGTCCTGGAGTGCCACCCCCGGGAGTCCCAACACCCCCTCTGGCTGGAGTTCCCAACCTGGGAGCCCCAAGCACGCCAGGACGAGCCAAGATCGCCACAGTATCACGCGTGGGAGGTCGCCCTCGGATCATCTCCTGGATGGACGCCCCTGATGATGTCTATTTCTATGCTACAGACACCACCAAGTATGTTATGTTGATGTTTGTTCAGATCCATGGTTATTTAGATATTATAGGCAACAAATAAGTTAGAAATATCATATTAGAGTTAAAGTATTTGTGTTTTAGAAGGGAGAATATTAACTTTGCAAACCTGTTGTAATGCATTTCAGATATGTAATGCTTGTGAATAAAAATATGGCAAAAGGGGTGCTATAGTTGGATGGTCAAAAGGAGATGGGAAGATGATGTAAGGAGGGAGTGAAGTATGCACTAGTGAAGGGATCATCCTGGAAACAGTCTGTGTTGTGTGTTTTTTCTGTAATGGACAGGTGCTGATAAGTGATCTTAGGTTAGGTTAGGTGAAGGGCCACAGGTAACCCAAATTAGTGTTTTGGGTCTTTTTGAGGAAACAAAATAATATTACAGAACAAATCTGTTATAGTGTTAAGAGTGAGTGAATGAATAGTGTGTATATTTTCTCTTTTTTCTAACCAAGTAAATTAAATTTGTGAGTTTGCTTTATTATTATTATTATTATTATTATTATTATTATTATTATTATTATTATTATTATTATTATTATTATTAAGCAGCTATTATGTGTTTTTATTGAAAATGGTAATGTATGAAATATATGAATGGGTAATTGGAGTATTTGTTCATCTTAGACACTGGACTTGGTGACCTTGATTGGCTGGCCACATTGTTTTCTAATTAGTAACACCACTATGGCCTCAGCTTTAAACAGCCAACATGTGTGTGTGTGTACAGTACTTGACTCTCTCTACTGTTTGTGGTTATTTACCCCAATTTCTTACTATCATCATCTACTGTACTGTATTAACAGGTCTAAAAGGCTAGCAGGAAATCCACTTGCAAATGGAAAGTCCAAAGGAATTTATTTTTTATTTTTCCCAACAACAATTCATTGCCATAGTCTCTGTTTGTTTGGGTGATTCTCATTCTCACCAGCATTTTTATGAGTGGTTTGTGACAGTCTACTTGCCGCCTAACCTCTCAATACCAGAGAATGACTTATGAATAGTATGAAGAGCAGCTAATATCATGTAAATTAACCATTTTAACGATAGAACTTCCCATAACCCGCCACCAGTCAGCTGTGAGATGGCTATATACATTGCCAGTGTAGAAAAACCATTTCAGTACTCTAATGTGACTTAAAAATAAAGAAAATATAATATAAAACTATAAAATAAGAAAAGTGAAAAGCATTGGTGTTTATTCTGTGTGAGATGAACGTATGTATGGAGGCAGTGAGCAGTTTGTCAACAGTGCGTCTGCCAACTTTGTTAGTTAGGCCTATTTCAGTTTAAACATGTACACCTCTGCAGTAAGTTTACTTTATTCTTTATGTGTTTGCCCTTATGACAATTATTCCTTTTACTTGTACGTATTGTGTGTGTGTGTGTGCGTGTGTGTGTGTGTGTGTGCGTGCGTGCGTGCGTGCGCGCGCGCGCTTGCATGCACGTGCATTCATACAATACAGGTACAGGAAATTACTGTCTCCAGAATGAATGGCTCCCTGTCCCAGCCGCAAAAATGCCGGCAACTTTAAAACTACCCACAGACAATTTTGGGTGCATCCAGGGTGTCATCCGCGAATAAAAGAGGACCGGGAAATAAAAATCTGTGAATTACCTGGGCATACTGTATATTCTCTTACGGTTGGCCTCTTATGGTTTATGGTTCATCATGATTAATATAACATCTTCAGTAATAGAGAAAAAATACATTATCCTGTACTGTATGTAATTTGTAATATGACTTGAAAATAAAAGGATAAGCTGTATCAGAAGGTTGTTTACTCAAGATGTATTAGTGTAAGCTTTCAGTAGACCAGCTTACAACAGGGGTCGCTATATCACGCTGTATAGTATTTGATATGAAGATACCTTTCTAAAAACGTTATTTACGACCTTTGAGTGTTATATGATGACTCAGTTTGGCTACCGGTACTTGTACACTTAGACAAATGATTAATGAATTGACCAGGGTATATGCAGATTCATAATACCTGTACTGTACAGTACTGTGCACTACAAAATTAATTAAGTGACGATAAATACAATAGTATTTATTAAGTGGTGATAAATACACTGCATTAATATTTATTAAGTCATGATAAATACACAACTGTGATGTACTAATTTACTAAGTGTTGAAGACAGACATTGTGATAAGCCAATCAGCTGTTTGCTGTTTGTAAACAAATGAGTATGAAATGACTCATGGTGTTCAGTGTGGGATTCTTTTTTCAGGAAAGCTGATTCTTTTAGGATAATATTTTATCAACCTGGTACAAAATGATCATGAATTATATGAGAATTGTCGTGAAATTCCATAAAGAAGTGTTAAAGGAATCTTGTGGGAGAGAGAGAGAGGGGGGGGGGGGCACCCACCCTCTGCCAGCTGCTCCCAGATAAACATTTGTCTTCCACATACAATATACTCCTACACTTATTTATTTTTATCTTCATAGTACAGTACAGTGTACAGTTTTCTCTTTTTTCATAAGACAAATTCTGTGGTTACTTACATATAACACTTTACAGTAAATAGCAAGCATCTCGGTGACAACAGTTGTTGACAACCAGACTTACAATGTCTGATTTTCAACCCAGAGAGTTCTGTTTCATATTATTTTATTGTTGATGTAATATTCTTTTAATAACCTTGTTATACACTTGAAAACATAACAGCAACTGATTTTCTTTAAACAGTTCCAGAGAAGCAGTGTTATCCCCCCCACTCCATATACTGTATACAGTATTCGCTTTTTTCGGACTGGGGTCTGTCCCAATTAGTCTGATTTATCGAGGTTCTATTTGGAGATTCGAATGGGTTAGGTTAAGAAAATGCTATATCAAAGTTCAACACAGCTGCCAGCGGTGCCATTTGCATAGATACTGGCTGCTTCACAAATGCCCACCCTCAAGTGTCGCCGTAGCAGTCAGCCCGACCGGATCTGCTGACCTGCAACGCTTCTTCCCTTGACTCTCTCACACAAAGGAATGTTTATTCCCTTTATTCCCATGTGTAAAAAAAAAAAAAAAAATATATGTTTACTGTATGTGTTCAAAACTAGGGGTTGAAAAATAATCGTAACTCCCCAGCTTATCCTAACTCTCACTAATAATAATAATAATAATATTATATATATATATATATATATATATATATATATATATATATATATATATATATATATATATATATATATATATATATATATATATATATATATATATATATATATATATATATTTATAAATAATAGTAAAACCATGTAATCAGGCATTTCATGAAATGAATGTTTTTTTTTTAGTCAAATAGTGAAATTAATGTTTCAATTGAGTTAAATTCGGTGCTAACCTAGCGTAAAATAACATTACATCATATTACGTTTTAGGTGAGGACCTAACCTAACTTAACGTAAAGTAACAGTACATCATATTATGTTACGTTAGTTAAGTTAGGTTAGGACCTAACCTAACTTAACGTAAAATAACATTACATCATATTATGTTACGTTTGTTAGGTTAGGACCTAACCTAACTTAATTGAAACATTTATTTTGCTGTGTATTTTTCTTTGCAGTCCCTTTGCTTGTATTTACATGAATGAATTGCCTCTGAGGGTATGTACTGTATTTGTGTTCTGATATAATGTAGATGATGTAAATGTTCCATTGATTTTTTCATGGGAAAAGTATTTCCAAGTCCATGTATACAGTATATGTCCATGTTAGAATTTAATTTGTTTTTGTTTCTGCTGAATATATGCACATATATTTATATATGTATATTTTTTTCAGGAAATTGCGCAAAAGTTTAACGACCAACGACCTGAAGCGGGCAGCCCGACGACCTTGGAAAAAGATTCAGGAGAAAGAGCTCTCACCTTCCACACCAACGCCAGCAAGCACACCTATCACACATATTACCAGTGAATGATCCGAACAGAACTACAGGAAAATGAGGACTCGATCCCACCCCCCAACCCCCTGAGCTAATCAGCTGAGCGACAACACATTCCCTGCTGGAGTGCTTGGGATCATCTGTGGACGCTCCAAAGTGGCTGGTTTGCTGCATCACATAGGTAGTGACTTGTGTGCACAAGCTGAACACTTAAAAGTGCAGTGTGGTGTACCAGTGTATGTGGTTCACTGGTGAAGTGTTGCTGTGGAGGAAGTTATTCCAGAGAGGACTCTCCAGCTCTCTCGCCCCCATCCCCCAGTCTGCGTTAGATTCCAGTACTGTATAGAGAAACAGTGAGTGGCATGATCAGAATCCCCAAGAGGGCATGGTGCCCTAAAAAAGGGAATGTTAGCGCAAATTATAACTGGATACAAACTAAACTACAAAGTCAAAAGCCATTTTCTAGGCCCATGGTTTGTCTTCATTAATAAAAGGTTTATTAAGTAACGCGAGGAGTTTGGAGTTTGCTACAATTACCTTTTCCTCCTTCGGCCTCGTGGTACTGCAATGTGGAACTTCTACTGATGGAAGAATCAAAGTTCAAAAACCCTCTTATATTTGTTATGAGAGGCATATTGTATGAGTGGAAGCTTAAAGGCTTATGCAAGATGATGGATCTGTAGACTAGTTCTCTAGGCTGACTCACAGGTAGTTAAAAGTGTGAATCCGTGAGGAGTACCTGAGGAAAAAGCAACATCCAAGATGATGCTTCGTTGACGAGATGATCTGACTGGATTACTGAGGTAACAAATGTCATGGCTGAAGAACAGTGTTTGTTGAAGCGTTGTCGGTCTTCAAGATTTATAAAAGAGGGAAAACACATAATGTGTGATAAAATGAGTAACAAGAAAAGTAAATTTTTATCTAAAGATCATGCTGTGTGCAGAAATATGATGAGGAAAGTTGATTGCTGCCCAAGTTGGTCAATGAATCCCAAGTACCACCACTCAAAGTTCAAAGTGAAAAATAACAATAACTTTATTCAGCACCCACACTATTTTTTATTCAGACTTTTTTGTGTACATATGGTTGCCGCATGTTCATCATGAAATTTTCAGTGATTCGTAGTGATATTAGTGATAATTTGTGTACTTTGTATTTTGTCCAATTGAAGATTTTCTGCACCAGTATCAATTTTTGGACTGGGTATAAGACTTCCACCAGCGCTGTGTTGTGATCACTCAACACCTATCCCAAGGTTCAGGAATGACCCTTGGCCGGGTTGCACTCTGTGGTGGCAGTGTTGGTGCCTGCCCCTTGCGAGGATAGCAAGAACTCTTTGTCGAGGGTCAGTCTCCCTTACAATCCATCTTTTTACTGTAGTCTTTACCTGCACAGATCAGTTCACCTTTCTCTACTTCCATTTTCCCCCACAGGTATTTATTTTACAGTGACTCGTCAGACTTAAATTTTTATAAAGAATTTGTAAATTAGTAAAAAGAGGTTTCATTGCACTCAGAAGATTGTAGTCAAAGCTGCTCTTCAACCACTGATGTGTGGCCTTCCCACCAGTGCATCAAAGTATTAGAAAAATGGTTAAAACATCACCTATCAGTTATTCACCCATTTTTTTGTTTTGTTCATTTGTTGATGTGATAACTGTACATTTACACATTTATATGTCTTGCTGGGTTTATATCGTGCTGCTATATTCTCAGCGTGTATCTGAGGAAGGACTACTTTTATGTACAATAATTTAAATCATTAACTCTAGTCTGATTGCATAATTTACCTTTAGAATAGGAATCTGCAAATTAAGCTGAGTATAGGTATTTTTATAGCAAATAAAAAATATAGCTAAGTTTATAGCAGCAGCATTACCCAGACCTGTCCTAAATTGTCCCTTCTATGGACAAGTGATGCCAAGAGCCAAACCTCGAGTCCAGCAGAGGGATTGTGATGGATGGAAAACATGAGACACTCATCAGATTTTGTATGGATATGCTAATTTTTGTTCTGTACTTAGTTCATTCATTCATTCAGCCCTCTACAATACATAGATAGACTTTGTAATAATGGATTTTTCTTTATATTCCTTATTGCATACAGAGCAAAAATGTGTGATGACATTGTAGATTGATAATTTGTAAATTATTCCCATTTCCCTTAAACCTTAATCCAACAGGTGATATATATATATATATATATATATATATATATATATATATATATATATATATATATATATATATATATATATATATATATATATATATATATATATATATATATATATATATATATATATATATTATTAACTTCTCGCTTGAAGACAAGAAAGGAGTCTAATTTATCTTGTCATAAATATGTATTAAGTAAAGTGGAGAGGAAGTAGTGCAGTATATACGTATGGAAGTTAAATAACAAATATGGAAAAAATGTGAATATGTGTGATGTACAGTGACCATCAATCCATGCACACCCATGTGCTTAGTGACCATCCACCCATACATACCCAGTTACTCTACCTCTGTATATCAAATGTAGTGGCCTACTGAGGGGGACACCCTATATTAACAACCAGTTTACTGATAATTTAGCTGCTCCTGCAAGATCATAGTTCATCAAAATGTTTATGACACAGTATTACTATATCAGAAACATTATGCCAATGGACAAATCCCTTGGTCATCATTATAAACCTGATTAAAATACACTGATATTATGATAAACAAAACAAAATGACTTATAGTGCTAAGTGTTTCAAAGTAAGGTTGGAAGCCAGAAAGAATAAGTATAAGGGATGAGGGGAGATTTAATTATATTTTTTACCAGTTACCCTCACTATGCCACTGCTAATGGGGGTAATTCATTATGTTTTCATAAAAAATAAATAATTTTTTTTTAAAGATCTGAAAACATGTATTCCTCAACATGCTGATTAAAGATCTAAGGTCAAAAAGTTATAATTTTTGTAATTACCAGTAGTAATGATATGAAAACAATAATTCAATTTGTTTTACAACTAATTACTGTACTTGTTACTTAAAATTTTTCATATATTTTTCCCCCCAATATATTGGATGTACAGCACCAAAGTAGAAACACATTAATTTCCTTTTCTAAGAGAGGCTCCAATGACGACATATTTAGTGACCATCTACTGAATACTCCTCCCAGTGACAGTCTGTCCTTACACACCTTTTTCACATCCACCTTTATGTACACCCAGTGATCATCCACCCTTATGTACACCCAGTGATCATCCACCCTTATGTACACCCAATGATCAACCACCCTTATGTACACCCAGTGCTCATCCACTCATATACACCCAGTGATTATCTACACCATGATCATCCACATCCAGTGATCATCCACTCATATACATCCAGTGATCATCCACTCATACACACCCAGTGATCATACACACCCAGTGATCATCCACTCATCCACATCCATTGATCATCCACTCATACACACCCAGTGATCATCCACTCATCCACATCCAGTGATCATCCACTCATACACACCCAGTGATCATACACACCCATTGATCATCCACTCATCCACATCCAGTGATCATACACACCCATTGATCATCCACTCCTTACACCCATTGATCATCCCATACACATGATCATCCTCATACCCAGTGATCATCCACTCATCCACATCCAGTGATCATCCACTCTCCACATCCAGTAATCATACACACCCATTGATCATCCACTCATCCACATCCAGTGATCATCCATCATACACATCCAGTGATCATCCACTCATCCACATCCAGTGATCATACACACCCATTGATCATCCACTCATCCACATCCAGTGATCATCCACTCTACACACCCTTGATCATCCACTCATTCACATCCAGTGATCATACACACCATTGATCATCCACTCATCCACATCCAGTGATCATCCACTCATCCACATCCAGTGATCATACACCTTGATCATCCACTCATCACACCCAGTGATCATCCACTCATCCACATCCAGTGATCATACACACCCATTGATCATCCTCATCCACATCCAGTGATCATACACACCCATTGATCATCCACTCATCCACATCCAGTGATCATACACACCCAGTGATCATCCACTCATCCACATCAGTGATCATACACACCATTGATCATCCACTCATCCACACCCAGTGATCATCCACTCATCCACATCCAGTGATCATACACCATTGATCATCCACCATCACACCAGTGATCATCACCCATTGATCATCCACTCATCCACACCCAGTGATCATCCTCATCCACATCCAGTGATCATACACCCATTGATCATCCACTCATACCACCAATTGATCATCCACTCATACATCCAGTGATCATCACTCACCACCATTAATCACCCTCATACATCCAGTGATCATCCACTCGTATACATCCAGTGATCATCCACTGTTATACATTCAGTGATCATCCACACCGATCATCCACTCACCATCCAGTGATCATCCACTCATCCACACCCAGTGATCATCCACTATCCACACCCAGTGATCATACACACCCATTGATCATCCACTCATCCTTATCGTGACCATCCATTCATACACACTCAGTGATCATCCACTCGTACACATCCAGTGATCATCCACTCATCCTTATCGTGATCATCCACTCATCCTTATCGTGATCATCCACTCATACACACCCAGTGATCATCCACTCATACACAACCAGTGATAATCCATTCATCCACATCATGATCATCTACTCATCCACATCCAGTGATCATCCATTCATCCACATCCAGTGATCATCCACTCATCCACACCCAGTGATCATCCACTCATCCACACCCAGTGATCATCCACTCATCCACACCCAGTGATCATCCACTCATACACATCCAGTGATCATCCACATCCAGTGATCATCCACTCATCACACCCAGTGATCATCCACTCATACATGCCTACTGAAGAGGTCACATATCCACCCAGCCATATAACCACAATAAACATCCACCCAGACATTCCCACACTTTGTGACCATCCACCAAATGACCTTTGAGTTATTTACACCCGGTGACCACCCACCCATATATTACACCTGGTGGCCATGCATACATTCATGGATGTACTGTAATTTATATTAAAGCAGATACAGTATTCATATAGGGATACTTGTATACATCTGCACATACTGTACATAGACTTATTATGCATATGCAAATATGCCATACAGGTTCATGCATACACAAATCTGTCTTGTATCATGTTCACTTCCATTAAATCTGTCTAAATTTTAAGAGGGATGAAAGTTTTCATGTGGTTTGACTGCTAACCAGAATCCCTAGTTTAACACTCATCCATATTAGCATCTTAATCTCAGATGCTGACACCTGTACACAAGACTGTCACTGTAATGTATTAGTCATTATTACCGACAAACCTTAACCTTCTTCCTCACTATACTTGTCATCCATTCTCTTGGAACATTTCCTTCCCCATTTTATCAGTTTCATACTTGATACATTTGATTCTCAAGTAAAAGGTTCCAGGATCCACTCTGGGATGAGAAGCATGAGGTAAGTGCTCAAACACTTGATTTATTGAACGTGTAATATAATTTTTTTTTATCTTTATCATGTTTACCGTTTATGTGCTATGCAACAGTTTGACTAATATAAGCCTCCTCCATGCAATGTATCCTCAGTGTATTCCTGAACATTCTGACATTGTATTGTAACACTGTGTCCCTCACTCTATTATTCAGCTTGACCTTGGTCGCCCCATCAAAGATGTTCAGACTAAACTCCCAAACACACTTTTCATCAACCTTGGCTGAAGACATAGTGGATTTATTGCTATACAAAAAAAAAGGATGTCATACAACTAAATTTCCACTGACCTCAGTCATTTAACACTATTTGTATCAACCTCAAAAGACTATCTCCCAGAAGAAACTTAACTACTCACAAGATGGTGAATATTTGGAACTTGAAGATTGTTTACTACAATTATTGCCATATCAAGAGAAGTTTAATTCATTAAAAAGCATATTTTAAGCCTTATGTTGACAGCATGAAGTATTAGAGGCAATATGTTATTGATATGTAGAGCTAATTGTACTTTAGAGTAAAACTCATTGGTAATAAAGTTGCATAAGAATCCATTTCTGTAATGTACGTTATCATTCTTTCAATACAAATAGGAGTACAGGTAATTAGATCACCAAATTAAAATAATTTAATCTTTGAATATAATACTTTCCACAAATGAAAGTGTTTTTTACCTTTTGATAAAATTAATGTTTGTTATAGAAAATAATTTTATTTAGAAAAATAAAAGGTTAAAAATTTTCAAAGGTTTTTTATATCAAATTTAGCAAGGAAGCAAGGGACAGCGATCAAACTTAATTGAACAAATGTATTTAATGCTCATTTTCCAGTGAAATTGTAAACTAATGATGCTGTGGTGTGTAATCAAATGTCATCCTATTCTCATATTACAGTATACTGTTTACTGCATAAGCAGTGCCACCCTCTATGCAACCAATTACTGTTGGTTAAGACATTTCCACAAACCTCCAACTTTTGACTTTTCAGAGAAACAAAGGAGGTTACAGTAAAGAGATGTTAGTGGGAGGCTGATGGAAATTTAGCTTGTGTGATCACCGCTTTAACGTAATGAAACATTCACACATTTGCTTGTGAATATAACTGACTCACTGTAACCTCTTAGTGTACATGTATTAGCATCTCAGGATATCAAGACACCTTCTTGAGATTTCATGTGTGTATCATAACATTTGATCAAACTGTGTATCAGAATTGGCAAAGTTAAGCCATTCTTTTGTTGCTAACTGCTTTAGTGTCCCCCAATTGTCAATTATCCTCTTCCATCTTCCCTCAACTTATATTATATATATTATATATCTATATCTGAAAATTTTATTGAGCTCAATTAGAATTTTGGAATACTTGTATCAGTTATTTATGAAAGGTAACCTCTCCATAAAGCAAGGATGAGTTAAGGCTAACCTCCATGTTACCACAGGGTTGGGGTCCCAGACCTTTATTATCATCTTTGTTTGAGATTTCATCCCTAATCAATTCTGATTATGATATTCTCATTACTTTTTGTATAATATTCAATGAATAGTGTTTGTTGGTGGAGAGGATACCAGTCTGACTATTAAAGGAAAAAGTTATTACAGTACTTCAATTTTTTACATATTTTCGAGATTTCTGGAGATATGGCATCCTTGTTGGAGAAGATTTGCAATCTACACATGCAATTTACTAACAAGTTGGATTTTAGATTTTATTATAAAGGCTTGTGTATCAGAAAAACATGCACACACAACAAAATCTTAAACTCCAAAATACATAACAAAGTAAATAAACTTATGAACAAAATAAATAGTCACACGTGTCTTGTTAAAACTCTTACAACACTAACATCACATGAAAAGCCCCCCTCTGCTATTTTGACCTTGTACTGCTGAGATGCTTATGGAGCCACACACTGGTTCTTTTAGGCATCCCACAGTTAGCCAGGTAAAGCTGGAAAATTTAATCGTGAAGTGAGTATGGTGGTGATGGAGACCCAGCTATATGTGAGAGGTATGGTTAAGCTTGGGCCTTTACTTGTTGTTCCTAGTTGACCCCAGTAGGGGACTTGGTTAAGGATCAAGGTGGGTGAAGAGTTGTCTTCCTTAGCAACATGCATTCAGAAGGGCAGGGTTGGTCCAGCTAGCGTCTGTCTTCAGAATATCTGCAAAATTAATAATTATAAATTAAACAGTTCCAGTATTATTCAAATTGCTGTACTCCTGAATATGCCTCTCCAAATACTGTTCTTGGATTAGATTTAACATTTCATGTGAAGCAAAAATGCACCATTCAAAGGTCCTGATTTTTACTTTAAGCTCAAGACTGTGCAATTCTGTATCTACATATTATACAGAGCTCATGTACAGGTAATAAAAAAAGTGTTATGTTTCCTGGTAAAATTCAACCACTGGTAAATGACCAATCTCTTTTGGCAGAAATAAAAAAATATTTTTCCACACCCCTTTAGTGAATCAATTTTGCCTGTCATTAAAATGTGGGTAATACTTAAGCAAGAAAATTTACGACCTGTAAGATATTTGCTACAATTGTATGAAAATTAATACTGTAGTTCATTTCTTTTCCTTATAAATACCTAATACTGTATGTTGAACCATAAACTTCTCAATTCTTGTTTCTACCTTCCAGTCATTGCTCTGCAGCTGTAAATCTTGTGCAATTTGTGATATACATTTCCTAACTGCATGACTATCATCTTGAGTTAGTACTGTACTGGTGTTTTGAAGCCGGTCATCACAAGGAAAGTATTGTACTGTACAATAAGTGCTGGTACTGTATTATGATGTGGTGTCAACAATTACTGTACTCGGGTTGATATCAAAATGTTAGACAATGCGTATATTTTCTGACCATCTAACTTGATAATACAGTTCTCTACAATTATTCTCCATAATATGTACCTGAATTAACAATAACGCTCATAGATCACAACACGAGGTAAATGAAGCGATGGAATTCAAAAGTTGTCACTTAGCCACCAGTTTTTAGTTTTCCTTATTAACCTTGTAGTAACATACAGTATAAAAAACATGAAACCTATTCTTTTGAAATTGTCCAATATAGTATTATACTTTGGCATTATATTCTGGTACAGTGATCCCTCGGTTAACGAAATTTCCGTTAACGAATTACCTTCCATAAGATTCTTAACTTCAGTTAACGAGCAATCCCTCGATTAACGAATTCCTTACGAGCGCCCCTCAACATGTTTTCGCTTGCATACTAGCTGTCATATTAGTCTGCCAATACAGTAATCGTTCTAGGGCTTAAATTCCTTACTATTTTAGTAAATATCAAGAAGTTTGTACTATTCAATAATTTTAAGTCTTATATTAAAATTGTTAGTCATTTTAACAATTATTTAACATAATTTAAGTACAGGGAAACTAGTTTTTAGCGCGCCAAACAGCCTGTCAACGCAACATACAGGCGTCAGTCTCTGTGTCTTTTCAGTGGAGGTAACATCTTGCTTCAGACTCTCCAACATAAACGCTTTTTTTCTGTTTCCAGTCAAATTATTGGTCATTTTGAAATTTATTTTACATACAGTGAGTTCTGCTATAACGCGTGTTTTGATAACGCGAATTTGCTCTAACGCGATTTATGAATTCGGAACAATATTTGTATAACGCGATCGCTTGTTTGCTATAACGCGATTTTTGCTTACTATTTCTCCAATTTTGTGGTATTAACTGTGAATATGGTAAAGAAGAATATCTCCAAAAAGCATTCTGATGATAGAATTCCCGGTGATTATCGTAAAAGAAAGGATATAACACTTGAAGAGAAGCTTGATGTTATCAACCTCAAAATCACCCTTCTCCCCCATCAAGTTACATTCATATTTTTTCAAGGTAAAGTGTTAAATTTACTGTATGATTTCATTATTAGATATGACTGTAACATTTATTTAGACTGTGCTATCCTTTGTGTTAGGCTAACTACTAAATTTTTTCGATTTCGAGTAATCTGCACCTAACCCTATTTTCTCCATAAGCCCTGTTATTTCTATTACGCGATTTTCTATAACACGATATTTTACAAGAACACAATTATCGCGTTATAGCAGAACTACCTGTATTGACAATATATAATGCAGTGCAGTGTTGATTTAAAGAAAATAATCTTGAATTACACCAAGTGAACAAAAATTTTATGGGTGAAATGGCACCATGGGGTGACTTCTCTTCCACCCCAATGCCTTCTCTTCTCCCTTCTCCTCCACCCCCATTCAAATTCCCATCATCATCATCCAGGAGCCTTCTACATACACACCTCAAAGTAAGTGTACTTTACTACCTTTTTTGTTGACTTTAGGCAATTTTCGGTGAGCTAGAACCAATTACCCCAAAACCCATTGAAACAATGGTTTCGGTTAACAAATTTTTCGGTTAACGAGCAACCTTCTAGAACGAATTGTGCTCGTTAACCGAGGGACCACTGTATGTCACTGCAGTTGAAAATATGGTAATTCTGGGGTTGGTCGATCTTCAATCCATTTAAATCCTTAAGCCCCGGGTTAGGGTGCTGCTGGCAGTACCCCCCCCCCCCCCAACTTATGAACGTCCAATTTACGAATCCTGCTGATATGAACGAGGTCCCATAAGATTAATTATTTTTAAAATCCGACACAAGTACAACTGGTTCTTAGTGGTTATATGTATTATTTATTTATTTATTTTTATTTATTTATTAATATATATATATATATTTTTTTAAGGGGAATAGCCCACCCAGGCACAGGTCATTGACCCACAAAGGGGCCTAGAGGGCAAATATACAAGAATAGAAAGAAATAAAAAAGGAAAAGGTTATATTAATCTACACCACGAAGTTGTGCATGATCCATGCATATGCTGATAACCACATAGGAAAGAAGAAAACAAAGTTCCCATGAGCTTTAGTTAAAAACTATGATAGCATACAAGTAAAATAAGTTTTAAAGTCAAAATGAAAATAAAATAAAATACTAATTTAAAAATTACACATTAAGTACCCCAATTGCAGTTAAAAATATTCCTCATTGCCAGAGGTGACTAGGTGACTGTGCCTTTGGCTTAGGGTCACATCATACGACATGTCTGTAGCTTAGGGTCACATCATACGACATGTCTGTAGCTTAGGGTCTCATCATACGAGGTTTGATCTTTTGCGGTCCTATGAGTAAAAAGGGCAGTCCCTGGCTAGGCACAGTATCTCGCTCTCACATGAGAGCCTCCCAGTCTTCTAAGCTTTTGTGATGTAGGAATCTTGCCCTTGGACTTGCTCCCTTCACCATGTGTTTCTTCCTCTCAACCCCCAAGCTAAATTCTAGTACAGTATTGTGATCAATTACTGGAGCAGTAATAATGACTGTTAATAGTGTAAATACTGTAGTAATAACATAGTAAACTAAGTGTCCTGTACCTCATACATTAGTGTTTACCTCGTTACTACTGTCATACACGCTACTGTACCTCACGAACAGTCTCCACTCTTCCTAGCCAAAATTAATATAAAATTTAATTCACTGATAAATAGAAGTACAGTACTGTAAAATATTTCCATATATTTTTATAGCTATAGTTAGTTATAGGTGGTGTACTGAAAAAAAAGTCCAACTCCAAAATAGTGATGGAGACAAAGTTCATAAGAATATTTTTGGTCTTATAAACCACATTCATGGTGATCAAAATACACTATATTGTATATCTTGCTGGCAACGAGATGTATTACATACCATTTTAATGATGGTAACCTTTGTAGTCCTCTGGCTGCTGGACGTAGAACCCCCAGGGAGCGAATGTGTCATAGCCTTTGCCCTTGGTCGGTCCTCGGTAGACCTGCATCTTGACGCGGGCCAGCTGCTCCTGCTTGTATCCATCTGGCATGGCGACCACCATGCACACCAGTGCCACTAACAGTACCAACACCTGTGAGTGAACGTATGAGCAAGTGAAGAGACATAAAATTTATGTAAATTTCGAAAGATATGGGGATGGAAGAAGAGTACCTACTACTACACACAAAACCTAAGTTCAGAATGGACCAAAGTAATGTAAGTATATAATAGTTATCTGGTAACGTGGCCACCAATGGCTACATTTAGTTGCATGAAGGAGAAGAAATGTAGGAAACACAAGATGAGAAGAAAGAAATAGGCAAGTATGGTGTAATGTCAATCTCGAAATGGCTGGTGTTGTGTCGAGCTATAGATCCGGTCAAATATGGGCAATCTTTTAGCTGGTGGCTGCCCAGGACAACCATAAATAACTATGCAGTAATTTTAAAATGGATCCATTGGTAGGGAAAAAAATATTGTCTCGAACGATTGATAACTAAATAATTAAATCTATTATTAAAACAAGTTTTGGTGATCTAAAGGGTAACTTAATTAATGTAACTAGAGAAAGAAGCAACTATGACTTGTTATAGTAGTTACGCTATTTTAATGTCATTTAACATCTGAAGACGCAGAAGTATAAGAATTACCTTGCTGTGGTGCAGGTTTGTAGAACAAACCATTGATTGATTAGGTGTGGGAACAGTCACCCGTAAATAAGAAAAAGAGAACAAGCCTTCCCGCTGTGACCGCCCACGGCTCCTGAGTTGATGACGTCATGTGTCTACATAATGAAACATTCCCATTATGTCGTCGTGGTGAATGACAAGGTCCGACATAGTTAATTTTGTGAATAAAAGTTGCAAATCCAGTCGGGTTTCTATCCCGAGACCTCATGATCCAAAACAACTACTGTTACTATGTAGCATTTGTGGGGGGAGTGGGATGTATACAGGTGGAGTTGATATCCAATAAATTTTAATCATAATATTATTCAATAACGTTGTTATACAGGTTTACAATTGGATAATCATGCTTATAAACTATGCAGTTTTACAGTTCAGCATGAATATAGACTATCTAATTATGTATACAATGCATGTATGGTAGTTTTTAATAATACAGTGTACTGTATATACAATGCACATGGTAGTTTTTAATAATACAGTATACTGTATATACAATGCACGTGTGGTAGTTTTTAATAATACAGTATACTGTATATTCTTACTGCATAGGACCTCTTAAGGGCATAATGCTCAGATAGGGGGGGGGGAAATTGAGGAACAATAACATTTTGTAGCCTTGCTTATACTACAGACGAGCAAGGGGTGACCTAATTGAAGTGTATAAACATCTCAGAGGGAACTAGGTCGAGTGTACAATCCCTGGAGCTGGCGGACACCCGCCCCACAAGGGTCACAGCTCAAGGTTGAAGTAGCTACAAGTCCAGAAAACAGTGAGGGTAAACTTTTCGGGGTGAGAGTTGTGAAATCTTGGAACAATCTGCCAGGAGTGTTGTGACGGCACCGAGTGTGAGCTCTTTCAAGACCAGACGACTAGCACTGGAGCAGGTTCAGATACATTCAAGAGCCAGTTCATGTCCAGTACCTTCCAACAGTGCGCAAGAGATGTGATCGGCTAACGAGCCGATCAGCGGTGAAGAGGACTCATAAAAGTAAGAGTAAAAAGCTATACGTGAAGGGTAATGGTGGCAGACACGGGGGGGTTCTGTCAGACGCCACGTATTTCAAGGTGTTGCTACTGGAGAGGAAAGTTTTTTTTTATATAGTATAGTGATTTACTGTGTTTGTGGAAGAGATATTGACTATGTAAACGAGAAGACTGCACCACTCTCTTACAGTCCTAGGGCTAGAGAGGAGTTTCTGTATGAGCATGTATGGTACGTATTATACTGGTTTTAGTTTAAAAGAGTTGCACTGTTGTGCAAGTTTTTGCTTTTTGTGCCTTTTTTATTTTGTATAAGTGTGTGCTTGTCTGCGAAGCTGGAGAAACAGTGCGTTGCAAATTTCTATGTTTAGTGACACCACTGAAGAAAGTCTGTAGATACCATAGGGTAATCCTTACACCATCATGCGGCCCATCATGATTCACATCCTATTACTGACATCAATTTAATTTTAAGTAGTCAGCTCCACTTACCGTCAGTCGGAATATAATTTATCTGTAGAGCAATACAACCAGAATCGGCTATTTATGAAGGATTAAGCTGGACACCGGCAATAAATGCCTTTGTCAACAAAATTTCGACACGGTTATGTCTGATTAATTATTAACTGGACTGCGAATTACGTATTGAGTCAATACTATTGACACATAACTAGATAGCACCTTGTGTGCTTTTTATGACCCATTTCATTAAGTAACTGTATTGTACTCATTGTTCTTGCAAAATACATCTCAACACGAGTATTCTCTAAAATATATAGAGTACAGTAAAGTATAATAAAAGCTCCATAACTTACGGTGGAAGGGGCGCAATACCTCTCGGTACTACATTATTGATGTTGCCTCTATTCTACGATATTACTCATTAAACTGGGTGATTCCTGTTTAAAAACTTTAATATATTGAACTATGACAGTTACAAAACTGCAGTAATCATTGTTTTGATCATTGGGAATTGTTAGCCATTTTTGTTATGGTCTGATTTTGGAAGCCGAACTAATTGCATGTTCAACAACTATTTGTAACAAAAACCAAGCTTAGCCGATAATTTACTCCATTCCTTCATATTTTGGATAACCAAACCAAATAGCTCCTTCATATTGTTCTACCAATATTAATAACAGTACTATTACTGCAATTAATACTCTTACAACTGCTTCACTTAAAAAAATCTATGAGTGAATTGTGACGATGGCATGTGGCAACAACACTGGATTATCATCCATCCTAGCACCTATTCTAAGGTAATTTGTGTAAAAGTTAGTGTTAAAATATATGAAACTAAGATGGGTTTACTTAACATAAAAAAGGAAACCCATGGAGTATAGAACAAAGTCGCCACGTGTAAACTACTCTAATAGCGATTTACTGAATACAAGGCATCATAACACTTACAGGTCTGGTACTACAAACCTAGTTAAGTTTTGATGTTATTTATTAAATTACTATATCAACACCTTTGACTGATAGCTTTGCAGTGGATTTCTCCCCTACAAACGATGTTTGTCGCTGCGTAGTCGACCCCACGAATTCCACAGTGTGCGCCTCGTGGTTTCGGTCAACCAGAGCCGCCATACATCACGGAGCGGGGGTCAACTACTAAGCCACGCCTACCCCCCGCTATTTAAGACCTGACCTCGTGGTGACCTGTCTCTTTCTACCTACACCAACCAGCCAGCAACACCACCTCCTCCTCCGCCTGCCTGGCGGTCCTCACTCCCGCCGGCGAGCATGGCGACCCACAAGCTGGTCCTCTTCTGAGCATCCTCACCAACCAGCTCTCTCTACATCACGCTAGTAACCACGCTGCCTTCCCAGCACCAAGCTGCATTGTACATCCAATACAACATGTATACATGAGAGCACATTGTGAGTTTCCTTTCTCCATTCCATCCTGAGTGTGAACCAAACAACCCAAAAACCCCACAGCTTCATTTGCCGTTAACCAAAAGTACCAGAAGACAAACTTATACTCGCCTCACCACCACAACCCTTTTTTTTTTAGCGAAGAACAAAGCTCAGACTTACACTCTTGAACGCCACCATGCTGACTCTCAGAAGACTCGTAGGCAACTGTACTAAAATCTTCCGCACATGTGTTTATATACCCGTCCTCCCGACGCCACATGTGAAAGCTGAACTATGATTTTCTAACTGGAAACTGTATGTGTCAGTTTACTTCGATCACTTTAGATTGATGGTATCCTGTAAACAGCGGTTCTCTAAAGATATTTCATTTTTATTTTGTACGTATACTGAAGTTTGACATTCGTTATTGTCATAAAGGACAACAGCGAAAAGTAACACGAGTTACCCACTTTCGGCCGCTATAATTCCAAGAGCTCTGTGGGGCCTGTCGCCTGGATTTTCATCAAGCTATTTACCTACCTAATTCTCCTTACGGCAACACCCATCAAAATTAGTGGTGGTCACGTCGGGGGAAGGAGGCCTATATGGTCCACGTAGGATCCCCCATTGCTCTTGATAATTTCATCCACGACTATTTTGAAGCCCATTATTCATTCTGCATGTCAACTTAGCGAGCTTGAAACTATGACCACTGGTGCCTTTAGCATTTGACCTAACCTAAACGGCAACTTACCTGGGTGCATCCCTCCCTCATCCACCTCCAGAAACACAGCCCAGATCTGTTTTCAATACATAATTGAAAATACTCACTCCAAAAACGAGCCATTATACGAACTAAAATATTGACATATAATATTGTGTAATTCACTGTATTGTGAAGCTGGATATAGGAAAAAAAGCTTGAAAACCCAACTGATTCCTGACCATCGACCGTGTTTGGCTGCTGCTCGACCACTGTTCCACCCCGTTATTCGATCTCCCGACTCGATGTTCCGGACCTTGAGTCATGGATCGTGGATTCATTGGATGGTCCATACAATATTCAGGTCAAAATGAACTATTTCTTTGTTGTAAAGATAATTATTGCATTGTTATAAGATTTATAACTTTATGTAAGCCCCAGAAGGGGATTTTAAATGTGAGGGTGGGAGTAGTATACTACCCTGTCCTTTTGATGTAATAGTTTTATTGTCAATAAAGTATTTCAATTTCAATGGTCCATATTTGGGTTCATGGTTAGGTATTCCGGAGCCCCGTATCCGTGTTGTTTAGATCTCGAACGGGTGGTGTTATGAAGCAATACATGAGGGAGGAGGGCAGAGCATTCCTTGACGGACGAGGAGCTAGTCGGCGGAACCGGTTGTGGTTGATAGTAAATTGTGTTACCCTGGCTTAGAATGTAAAGTAAGTTTGTAATATTTATGTGCCTTTGTATGTGGTAGGATTGTGGTGATTATGTAACTATATGTTGTGATAAGTGTGGCGATCGTTAATGTTTGACTATTGCTGGTTGTTGGTGTTCCTTGTCATTATATTGTACACTCCAACATCGCCTTTACTATTCCTCTCCGATAGGAATATAGAACACCTCAGTAATGGTGAATATTTAAGGAGAAATATACTACACATGACCATTAATTTAAGTGAACAATCCGTTTGAGTCTGTGGGGTCTGTTGCCGCCCGGTTCCTGGTAGGGTGTTTAGTACAGGAACAACAGCTGGTAACATAAATTATAATTAGGACAGGTAAAGACAAAGATCTTTACATGTGTAGAGAAACGAATGAGTATATAGTATAAAACTTGGTAACTCGCTACGGACAAGATGGATTAATTTCTGGATTAGAGTGAGAACGTAAATTATGGCAGAGTCTTACTGGGCAGTACTGGACGTGTTGATGAGTCAGGTACTTCAGAGATCAAACCAGTTTAACCAGTATTTCAGATAATCAGTCTGTTAACTTTGGGGGACTTTAGAAAACGACGTTGTTTTGGGGACACACACACACCAACTTGTTTATGATGATTCAGAGATTCAATGTCCACATAACTCCAGATGGAAGACTATAAACATTTATCTGCGACTGTATGTGCCAGGTGGGGTTATGATGGTGTTTGGGTGATAACGTGATAAACTGATGATGGTGTATCGGTAACATAAACTTATCATGAAGGTCTGCTATAAGTCTATGTTACGGTTATGTGCATAAAATGGAGAATGTCCCGATGTTTTGGATCTGTAACTCCTCAAGCGACTGTAAACATAAAATAAACACTCTGTACTACTTTTGGAGTTGACAGGATTAACAACTGAAATTAGGTTAGATTAGTGAAGTAATTTGGTTTTAATTTTTCCCGATACAAAATTTACCCGCGAGAAAGCAATTACTTCTAGTTTTCCTGACAAAAGTTAATTTCATACCCAGGATCCAATAAACCAAATTACAACAATACTCCTATCGGTAATTGAAAATTGTCTTATCTATTTAATTGCTTTAAATCTAATTTAACATTTCACCGCTTACCAGCTGCCAAGCCGTTAGAGCTGTTGATCTGTTCCATGTTACATTGTTATGAACTTTATTGTCCAGTGTTGGTACAGATTCAGATTTGCACAGCGAGAGGGCTAGTTTATTGGACACAGGAGGAAACCTGTGATGTTTGGTAGCAAGGGTCACACTGGATAACACCCTGTCAGGTGTCTCGAGCTAGGACTCGAATCCACCACAATGGTGAGATACTCACGTTACCGCTGTACCACCAGTTCCACTGTCCCACTTATTGTACGCATCATTGCTCGCCCGGTGGCCAGTAACTTTCAGTGAGAAAAAAGAATTGAAAAAGTTGACACCTCTGTGATTCCGGACACCAACTCTCTATCCGCAGATTATTCAACTTTCTTACTTATTTTCACTGCTTGTGAGGTGACCTCATCTCTTTGTTTTTTCTTCAGTTTTTTAGAGTAGAATATAGCCCTAGCGTACGAGAGAGAAATACTGTACAGTACAACATAATTCGTCGGATCACTTGGAGAATCGCCACCTCTCGTGTCCACCTTTAGAATCGGCACCCCAGCCCGCTATGGGGTGACGTTTTTTACCTGATGGTTAAAATAACACACCACAACTTGGACCTGCTTGAAGTGCACTTACACACTAAAGTCTGATTTATGCAACACCTAAATAATACAGAGTTTAAATATTACAATCTACCCTTTACTTCTCAGCTGCTGTACTTAGCGACCATCCTCGATAAACATTGTGCAGAGGTCAGCAGGACAACACTTCCCTTTTCTCCGCCTGAAGACAGAGGTTCATATTTACATTCTCGCACACAATTTCTAATTCACTGCCAAACGATGCTTTTAGTTGAGAAAATTTGGATGGATTTGTCGTGGAAGTCACAGGTTATTATTACTATACTTAGTCAATCTTTTTATTACGAATAACGTGAACTGGTAACCTGGTGTGTATTTAACTAATAAACCCGTGATGGATGGACAAATAAAAACCTGGTTTGAAGAAAACGCAAGCCATAATAAAACTTTCCGGGAGGAATCTAATACAACCGTGTACGAAAGTGAGTTGTCCGGGTTAGTGTTGGGCGTTAACATCCCTGGAAGTGGAATAGAAAACGGAGCCAGAGGGCGATCGAGCGCCAGCCAGGCACAGCGAACACTTTCTATTTTCCACAGAGTAGAAGACCATCAACCCTTGACCACCTCAACCATCAATAATGTTTACGATGTAATTAAGTACATCTTCTAAATTCAGTGCCCCCGTACTCTTAATCATTGGCTAGCTAAATTAATTCATGAATTTAATATTTTTTATGATAATCATATTGAAAACAAGTGGTTTTCAAAATGCAGTAACTGCAGCGTGCAAGATCATGCGGTGTGTAGCGTGTCTTGTAGGGAGAACTTCCTAGGATATCTTAGCTTAACACGGTTTTAGACAGGAAATTTCTTACCTAACCACGTGAAATATTTAGGGCCGAAACGTCTGTGGGGTATGAGATGTTTGTGTTCACACTCAGGATGGGATGGAGAAAGGAAACTCACAATGTGCTCTCTATATACATGTTGTATTGGATGTACAATGCAGCTTGGTGCTGGGAAGGCAGCATGGTTACTAGCGTGATGTAGAGTTGGTGAGGATGCTCAGAAGAGGACCAGCGTGTGGGTCGCCATGCTCGCCGGCGGGAGCGAGGACCGCCAGGCAGGCGGAGGTGTTGCTGGCTGGTTGGTGTAGGTAGAAAGAGACAGGTCACCACGAGGTCAGGTCTTAAATAGCGGGGGGTAGGCGTGGCTTAGTGGTTGACCCCCGCTCCGTGATGTATGGCGGCGCTGGTTGACCTCGACCACGAGGCATACACTGGGGAATTGGTGGGGTCGGCTACTCAGCGACAAACAGCGTTTGTAGGGGAGAAATCCACTACACGTCCATTTATTGTTACGGGGAAGTGATGATGCGGAGGCTTTCTCCCTCTGTCATCATGTCGGTGTACGGATTTTAGTAACTCACTTTTTTCTGGATCCATTCTTTCCAAATCGAGTTTTCCATCTGAAATGAATTTATAGTTGTCATCAGGTGACACGAGTCACTTTGGGAAGAAAGTTTACACATGAATACCGTCGAGATGCTTTTTAGAAAAATAATGTGCAAGTGATAACACTTTCTACAATCACTTTGTATACCGGTACATAAAATGACACGAGCCACTGGCAATACACTGTTCAATTAAACTCTCTCCAACAGACATCATGGGCCTGGAGTCACTCGGCACACCGGGTGAAGGAGGGCATGTGTATCAACTTGTCTTTGTCTGGACATCTGCGAACCATTCCAAATTTTCGATAACTGTTGAGCCGTATGTGACGGTACCAGTTACAGAACTGATCGAACACGTAGGCTACCTTTGCTGAACATAGGCCTACGTTTGCTAACGTAAAAATATTAAACACACAAGGCACTATTACACTGATAACGATGCAGAAGCATATCCTGTCTGAGAAACTTCCTTAAACATTGTTTCATCCACAAACGTTTCCACATTTAATCTAACCTAAGTTAGTTAACAGGCTAAGTTATGACGTCTGGGATTTAAAAAGCTTGTCTTCCGTTTTCAACTAGGTCACTGCGACCAAATACCGCATTTGAAAGACTGAACACGACCTGTGAGTAAAGTTTCACTCCCCAAGGTGATGCTTTCTCATGCCATGGCGATTCGAAAGTTACGCGGGACTTGGT